TTTCAAAATAATTTTTTACTATGCGAGCGGTATGCACAGCTGCATTATCTTGCTGAAATATATATTTTGTCCCAGCAGTTCTGCGATCGTAAGTGTCTATGTGTCTCTTAATTAAATTTAAGTAACCAGCACTATTCATACGGCCTTGAATGAATTCTATTTCAGTTTTTCCTCTATAGCCGATACCTGCCCATATCATTACTCCACCACCACCACATTGTCTGCGACTTAATACCCTTTGCTCCTTTCTTAAATCGTGGAAATAGTATTTATATCCATCTGGACCATCCAAATTCAGTTTTTTTTCATCCGTGAATATAATTCGTTTCCACTGGTTTTTCCATTGAATGTGCTCTATTGCAAAACTTAATCGGGCGGTCTTATGTTTGTCTGTTAACGGCGGCTTTATAGTAAATTTCTTCCGTTTTAAATAGCTTGTTTTTTGAATTACTCTTTTCACTGTTTTAGTCGATACGTTAACTCCACAATCCACTGCAATTTGTCGAGGCGTAAGTCCAGAATTCGATGCTTTTTTCAAAATTAATCTTTTTTCTCTTGAAGAAAGGGCTGCAGGTCTTCCCTTTGACTTCTGTTTCCCATATTTTTCGGGGTTTTGTAAAAAATTCTGTATAACACACCGACTTCTTTTTAGTTTTTTTGCAATCTGTACTTGATTTTCTCCATTAGACTTTAACTGGAGTATTTTAATCTTCTCATCTTCGCTTAATGCTGTTCCTCGTCCCATAATTTAATTTTGGGTTAAAAAGTATTTAAACACTTATAAACTAACTATTAATAAGTAATTTCTACAAGATAAACTTGCAGAGAACTGCACACTTCAACGTTTTCTAACAGACTACTTCAAGTGCCTTAACATTTTGTCCACCTGAAATTTCGAAACAATGAAACTCAAAGACCACAATGCACCGTGTTTTGTTTGTCTAGACTGGTACGTGGCCTTGAAAGGAAGTTTCTCACTTATAACATAGTTTACTGCTAATAACTTTAAGATTTTACTCAATACATCTGGAATTTCTTATGTGTACAACGGTGCCTTATCATTTTGTCCACCAGTGTATGCACTTCCAATCAGTGGATGAGATTCGAAACTGGCTTGACGACTTTATCGGGTCCAAAAACGTAAAATTTTTCGTAGATGGAATTCATCAGCTGCCTGAAAGATGGCTCAAAGTTATAGAAAGCAACGACGAATACTTTGATTGGACACTTCAATTTACTTTCTTTCAAAATAAACATTCGACCAAGTATCTCCACGCTAATGGTTATTTTCAAATTCCTAGAGAAGCATTGTATACAGGGTGTTCGGCCACCTCTAGCAAAAATTTTAATGAGCGATAGTAGAGGCCAAAATAAGACAAAAATCAAGAATACTAATTTGTTGGTGGAAGCTTCGTTAAAAAGTTATTAACGTTTAAAGTGCCGCTCTTACTGAATTTTTTTCTCGAAAATGCGCAAGATTTCGGGGGTATGTCTATTCACCAAAAATGACTGTAATTGAACCCTACAACCGAAAATAATTTTTCCACAACGATTTGCAATTTTTTAATTTTCTCGAATAATTTCACACCTTCTCTATTTTTTTTCTCGAAAGTGGGCAGGATTTCGTGGGTATGTCTAATGACAAAAACTGATTGTAATTGACCCCCGCAACCGAAAATAATTTTTCCACAACGATTTGCAATTTTTTTTCTGCGTTGAAAAATTTAGGCACCTAATTTTATTTTCAGTAAGGAATTTTTTTCTCGAAAGTGCGTACGATTTCGGAGATATGTGTAATGATAAAAAATGATTGTAATTGATCCCCGCAACCGAAAATAATTTTTTTAAAACGATTTGAAAAATTTTTTTTCGCCGAAAAATTTCAGCACCTACTCGATTTTTTTTCTCGAAAGTAGATAGGATTTCGGAGGTATGTGTACTCACCAAAAATGATTGTAGTTGACCCCCGCAACCGAAAATAATTTTTCCAGAACGATTTGAAATTTTTGAATTTAATTGTTAATAACTTTTTAACGAAGCTTCCATCAACAAATTAGTATTCTTGATTTTCGTCTTATTTTGGCCTCTACTATCGCTCATTAAAATTTTTGCTAGAGGTGGCCGAACACCCTGTATATCCTAATTGTATTACGCATTTATATGCTAATAATCCTGTAGAGGGTTACACAGCATTCAATAAAAAAAAAAAATAAACATTGAATGGGGCTGAAAGAATTGGGGTATTCATACACCTAATATATACCCGCTACCGTTTCAAAAGCGATTCCCACTAGCGTGAGTTCCCCTTGTAAGCAGCGATCGGAAATGTTTCGCAGAAACTCGAGCACGCGCGATTAGAGGACGAGCCATATATATTTTTCGCACGAAACTTTTTCTATTCCCGTCGCCCTTCCAGGGTGCGAGCCCTTCCGCGTTTCCACGGAAAATGTTGCTCGTTGGTATCGACGAGGACCTCCAGCGGACGTTAAAGAAGCCGCCAGAGATGCCGCGTCGGTGAACCGTGTCCCTATGGTAATTAGCTCCCACCAAATCCACAGCCTCCTGGTGACACTTCACCCCACGTGTAACCCTCCTTCCCTTTAACCTTCCTCGCTTCCTTTTTCTATATATTTTTTCCCCCCTTTTCGACGATCACCGATGCGGCAATTAGAAGCAGAAACGTAACGCGTACTTCGAAACGAACTTCCAGTTTCACGGTTTCTTCCTCTTTTTTACTGAACTTCTCAGACTGTTGGACATAAAATAGATTTATACGGCACGGTAAACGACGAGAAAAGAATTCGGTGCGTTTGGAGCCAAAGAATTTGAAAAATACGTCCAACCGATAAATGTGCGGACCGCGGATGTTTATGCATTTATGGGAAATTTTAATTTTCAAAAGACCAGAGAATGCTCTTAATATGCACATATATAAGGAATGTAACTGGTGGTACAAGCGAATAGAGGGCGATTCTACTATTTTTAAATTGAATCAAAAATATGGAACAAAATTGTTTTATATGACTCTTTTGTAAGATATTTTAGATATTTTCCCTTTAATATCTTAATACAATAGTTTGTACGGAAAGCTGACTCGAACGTAACTAACTAAATTATTATTAACAAACGATTAACTAACAAAATGAACAACTTCTAAATGCATACTTCACGCGAAACACACACACATAGTCAGCAATGCCTTTAATCGAAACTCTCACATAATGTAACTGCACTCATACATTACAAACCTAAAGGTTGCTTACACTTTATTTTCGATGAAAATAAGTTTGAAAATTTGTCTAGTACGCGTGTACTTGATTTAGCTTCAGTGATCGTGTACAATGATGACATGACGAGCATTGAACGATTAAAACAAAAAATTATTATAGCGTTTGAAGAGTTAAAATTGCACGACAACACATTAGAAAACGTTCGATGGAATTTAATGAGGAGAGCACAGTTACGTTTGAAACAACGTAGGCATCCAACAGTTCATAAATTAGACGAATTCTGGAAATCTGTTCATCGATCCATTGGCAACGTTTACGAACAAGAATGGAGGTGATCTACAATGAAATCCGTCGAGCTGAAGCTGGTCCAAGTGAACGCGTACTCGACCTTTCAAACTTGTTTCTTTAAAAAATTTTATTCTACATTTTCGATTCAATTTTTCACGTAGAACCACCCCCTAGTCACTTGTACCACCAGTTACAGGACACTCTGTATTTAGGGATTGAGACAACCCTTTGCAAAGCTGTGATTTCATTAATTCTTTTGATAAAAATATGAAATTTCATATAAATACGCAATCTATGTATAAACGAGGGACTGTCGTCGCGTAATCAGATTCTCGAGATGAAATTTGTTCGAACGGAAAATCCATGACGACCCAAGTAATCGTTCCCTAAGCGGCGGTCAGCTCGTTTCGCGAGATAGAGACGAAGCCAGCAATAATAATTAGTTTCGTAATGCGAACGAACGATCGACCGATAAAGACCACCGTGCTCGGGAACTTTCTTTCATTTGCAACTCGTAAAACTTCGTATCGTGTTTGCGTAGAGGAATCGTCGAGGATCGAAAGAGAAAGATGAGAAACATGCGTGCCGTTCCAAGAATTAGCCTCAACGAGTGTATTTAACGCAAAGGATATGTATGTAGGTGTCGTTTTATCACCTATTTCTTCACGATCCAGTTCTACGCGACGATAGGCTAACGCAACTTCCGGTACCCACGCACCCCCCACTTGCTATCTCCATTTTCCCTTTTTAATATACACTGAAAAGTAAAATCGAATCGATACTTTTCTAAAATATAATTTCTTCATTGTTAGATTGCATTGTTACAATTTAACAAAAAATACTGTACATATACACATTCTGATTAAAAAAAATGTAAAATAGTTTTTCTTTATACTGATATTATTTGTGATTCAATTTGGCACCGTTGCAAATTATAATCGAAAATAACAATTTGTAGGGAGTTTCGCGATTCGTAGGAACATTTTTAAGACTTTCGTAATTTAAAAGAAAAATTCAAAGGAAATATTTTGGCCTTATTTTGGGCCCCTCAGGTCAGTCTAAATAACAATTATTCATAAGAACAAATATAACAACTTGTAGGGAGTTTCGCGATTCGTAGGAACATTTTCAAGACTTTCGTAATTTAAAAGAAAAATTGAAATTTTTCAAAGTACAGTTACTCACAAAATTGGTCGTACACCTACTTACGTTAATCACGAAAAATGATGGGAAAACTAATGTAAATGCACATATATCCCTCTGGTGGCGAGCATGGGAGGCAACGCCACAAAATATTTTTTTTTAAACACTGAACGACATGGTTAAGTGTTTAAAAAAAACACATCCTCTTACTTTTCCATCTATCCAACTAAAAAATCGCAGACGAACGCTTTATTTCAGGTGTTTACAGTGGTCTTACACCTTAACCTTAAATATTCACGATTTTTTGTAAAAGACATTGTGAAAGTGTTCATTTTGCAGGTTACGACTGGACCTTGCTTCCGGTTACTTCTCGCGCGGGAGGACGAAGAAGCGCCCATGTGAAGCGTCCAATGAACGCGTTCATGGTTTGGGCACAGGCCGCGAGACGCAGGTTGGCCGATCAGTATCCCCAACTACACAACGCCGAATTGTCGAAAACGTTAGGGAAATTGTGGAGGTAAGGTACCATTTGTCACTTCTCGTGTAACGTATGCAAGAGGTATGCAAAAGTTTTCATCGTTTTTATAGGTTATTTTATTGATACCGTACCCTTTACGCCAGGGGGCATGAATGTGCAATTCTATAAATACTGGAACACGTGCAATTCAAAGTTCTGGAATTGTTAAACTGGAATCAACCTTAGAATATAATCACCACACTTATGTAATGTACAATTTGGCATAAAGTTAGGAATGAAATGAGACATTCAACGATTCGAAATACATATTTACTGCAAAATCTGACAATTTTTCATATTCATGGTTCTGGAATAAACGGAACGGTAGGTTATGAACCGTACAATATTATCCACCATTTTTTATTGTACTTTCTCACCATTTTGATAAAGATCGATAAAAGTATTTTCGAACTTCTTCAACATTTTGAGATTGCATGCCAAAAAGTTCGTTTTGTGTAGAGCTGAACGAATCGACATTTGATGGTCTATGTCTATGTCTAAGTATACAGGGTGTCTGGCCACCCCTGGGAAAAATTTTAATAGGAGATTATAAAAAGTTATTAAAAAATTAAATTAAAAAATTTCAAATCATTCTGAAAAAATTATTTTCGCTTACAGGGGTCAATTACAATCATTTTCGGTCATTAGACATACCCTCGAAATCCTACGCACTTTCGAGAAAAAAATTCGAGAATGTGTGAAATTTTTCGACAAAATTAAAAAACTTCAAATCGTTCTGGGAAAATTATTTTCGGTTTCGGGGGTCAATTACAATCATTTTTGGTCATTAGACATATCCTCGAAATCCTACCCACTTTCGAGAAAAAAATTCGAGAATGTGTGAAATTTTTCGGCAAAATTAAAAAACTTCAAATCGTTCTGGGAAAATTATTTTCGGTTGCGGGGGTCAATTACAATCATTTTTGGTGAATAGACCTACCCCCGAAATCCTACCCACTTTTTAGAAAAAAAATTCGGTACGGGTGTAACTTTAAACGTTAATAACTTTTTAAGGAAGCCTCCATCAACAAATTAGTATTCTTGATTTTCGTCTTACTTTGGCCTCTAGAATCTCCCATTAAAATTTTTCCCAGGGGTGGATGAACACCCTGTATTGGTTATGATATAGCTTTCCATTCCAGCTCTATTAACATTTTACGATTCACCAATACAACACATGGTCTAGTATTATCGTGCAGCAAGATTCCATCAGTTTCTCATTTAATTTCTAAAATTCTCTATACAGAACTGCCGTAATATTTTATCCTGAATTTAACAATTCATAGCAGTACTTTGTGCTTTCACTCCCATAAACTTTAAAGAATCGATCATTCAAATGAAAATGCCTCAACACGTAATACTTCTTTCAGAAAAGTTAACTAGTACTAAGCGGTAATTAACATAAAAGAAGAAAAACGATGACAATTTTTACACATGTCCAATAATAATTAAGGTGCCTCGATCCAACAGAATCCTGAGCGACGACGAAAAGCAACCCTTCATAGAGGAGGCTGAGAGACTGAGAAACGCTCACAAAAAGCAGCACCCGCATTACAAGGTGACCGCCCCAACGTAACGTTCGACTTTTAAATCCGCCATTGGCGCTAACTCGAGACAAATTCCAGTATCAACCGAGACGAAGGAAACCGAAACCGGACGAGCAGATGGGCATCATGATGCATCGGACGACCTTACCTTCGCCAGGCACTTCGTTGGATTCCACCAGCTCGTCCGACTGCGCGTACCCGCGCCTCTACACGGACACCGGGATCAAACCGTACGACAGGCCGACCTACCACAACAGCAAAGCTACCTACGATCTGTCCAGATCGTCCTGGCCCAGCGATCCGGCCAAATACACGATAGATCACGAGAGCAAACTGTACGAGCCGAACACGAAGAGCTACGTGGACGCAAAGTGTTATGAGGCCATTAAGTATCACGAGGTGTCCACCTCCAAGTACCACGAGACGGTTCCAAAGTACTCGGAACTGCAGACGAAACCCTACGATTTACCCAAGTATCCGGAGACCCTGAAGTATCCCACGGACGTCACGAACCCGACAAAGTCGTACGCGTGCGTCCACGGTCAGTATTACTCCGCTCCCGAGGGATACACGATGCACGAGGAGAACGATTATCAAACGCAGGGAGTCGCGACCCACTCCTTTTATCCGTACATATCCGCCTCCGTACCACAGCCCCCCTATTATATGGGTCCTCGATAGATCGGTTTCAATTTTTCTTCCTGTCAATAACCAAAGTACTCACGGTTGAGTACTCGAAACGCTTTGTTCATATAAATCAGGTATAAAGTAATGATTTTGCTTCCATGCTCTCTAAATTCATTCCTAACCTCTTACGCCGTGTACTGTTTTTAAAGATCTTAGTAAAAGATACTTACAATTACAATATTGGATCAACAAATTAGATACAATATCAGACGCTAACTTTAAATGTAAAATAATAATATTTACATTTATTTTTAATCATCAGTTATCATCGACCATCGTTTTCAATTACTTTCTTCCATCTCTCAAACTATTTTTTCATTTTCAAGAAATATTTGGAGTTTTTGGAAATTCTTCCGGTTAAAATCTTTTACAAGATTGGAAAGTAAAGTAGACGAGGTGTAAGTTACTAATCATAGTTTTTAATTCTTTGAGATTTCTTGGCGTAATATAGTGAAATAAAATTCCTTTCTTCTTCGCTAACGATAGACTTTTTTCACATAAAGCTGTGTGTGCATCTTTAACTTCATCGCCTTTTTTTTTTTAATATCGAATGCACGTTTCAGATCGACGAAAGAGTATTTTTTGGGAGACGTACAGAGAGATTTCTCTAAACAAATATACTTAAACAACGTAGTATAAACGCAAGGTACATGAGCAAAAGAAAAAGTTACGCGATGCAGGTTGCAAGTTCGAGAATTTAGAGCGATTCGCTCTCTTGGCAAAAAAGGCACACGTCGACTCTGCAATCCGCATTATAAAAATAAACGGCGAATAATCGTCTGCGCATCTATCTAACGCTAGATGCGTTGCCTGTTGTGTTTCTACGTTTTGTTGCAAAATAAGGAGAAACACAGAAACACAACGGCGACGCACATAACCTAACTCAGATCTTATACACGTACAATGCATAAAATAAAGATAGTTTCCCAGCTAGCTGCGTTACTGTTCTGAGACTTTGATATAATCGGGAGTATAAACAAAAGAAATTGTTCAAATATCATCGAAGGTAAAGCGTATAAAGGAATCCATCAAGAATTCGATGTATATTAACTAAATTAGTACGATGTCAACCGGAAGGAATGCAGATTCAATTGATTACACCTCCAAATGTCTACCTCATGTAACACAATGTTAAAAGTAGGATAGATCTTTCTAATTGGCGGAGCTGACAATCTCCCTGCTCGAGCATTGCGTGACAATGAAAACGAACAGAAGAGAGTAAAATAGAAGATCATTGACGGTCGATACAGGAGGGTCAAGGAGGATGGAGATTTCGAGACGGTAACGTTAAGCAGAGCGAGACAAGTACCTCCCGACCCTCTGTATTGTCTGATATCTTTTCAGCAACCCATGGTACATACAGAGATTCTATCGTCTAATCAATACGATTTAATATGTCTACCAATTCATGTATTTGTTGCTTATTCGTGTGCATGAACGCTGACACGGTCCATATCATGTCGGCGAGAACCTCGTCGTTCTTCTCGTCCATGGCGATATCCTGCGACAACTGCGGATTAAATCTGTAATAAGGCACTCCGATCATGGAGCACCAGCCTTTGGCACGATCGACGATCCTCCCGTCGCTGGCAGTTGCCTGATCCACCAATATCTCCGCGAGAGCCGCTATTCCCATGGCAAACTTTGCGGCATCCCATAGAGTCTCGGGCAGAGCGATATCTATGTCCTTCAACGGGGAAGGTGGTACCAATCCTGTGCCAAGGGAGACCACCAAGGACAGAGGCGTGGCTGGTTCGTAGCCAATAGCGTTCATGGCTATATTGTACTGATGAATCTCCGTCATGGCGTCCAAAGTTGGATTGTTTGCTATCAAACCGCCGTCTATGAATCTGCCAAAGGCCCGGAAGTACGAAGGTGCCGCGCCGGTGGCCCGTGCCACATGCCAAATCAATTGATCGTTCGGCGAAGGATCGATGGGCGTAGGGCTATCTGGTATTTGCAGTATAGTATTCGGTGCATCGTAGTTGCGGAACAAGTGAAGTCTGAGAGGTTTCTTGTCGGCTAGGACACTGGTGATTATCATCTTCGGGCTCTTGATATCGGACATAACCGTTGTCGATCCCAGACAATCTTTCAATACCTTCTCCAACGCTTCGCTTTTATACGGTCGCACTCCGACGAAAGCTTCCTCTTTGATGCGGAAGTAGAGAGCCTGACATTCTCGCAACGACTTTCCAGACGCGAGCCCAAGAGCTAAAATACCACCGGTCGAGGTTCCAGCGATCCAATCGAAACATTTTATGATAGGTTTCTTGAGGCCCGACTCGATCTCCAATAGAATTTGTACGAGTATCAGACCGCGAATCCCGCCTCCGTCGAGGCAGAGAAGTCGTCCACCTTTGATCTGCTTGTTTTCTTGCGAAGCCATAGTATCCATGCCAGAGAGATGAAGCACTTGATCCAGAACATTACGCGGAGCAACTAAAGGAGGTTGTTGCGGGGAAATACCGACGAAGTTTTCATTATGTTTGCAGCCTATATTGCAGTTTTCCATAACCGACGGACAACGCAAAGCCCCCACGGCATGTAGAATGTACAAAATCTTCTGACCCTCGGTGCTGTTGACGGTCACCCGGTGTCGCGGCGTTTCCGATTTCCAATTTGTAGCATTTATGTCCGCGCCGAAACCGATCAGCATCTGAACTATTCCCAGCGTATCTTCCGAAACCGCCAAATGTAGCGGAGTATTGCCATCCTTATCGGTTATATTCACGGATGCCATATGACTCAAAAGGGCCACCACGCACGGTAATCGTTTTCTCATTGCCATAATATGTAAAGCCGTACGACCGTCAAAATTCAGAGCATCTATATCACAGTTAGTTTCAATTAAAGCATTAATAACTTCTCTGCTTAGAGACCAGTGCAGCGGTGTGCCACCGTATTTCATATCTTCGGCGTGAAGAAAGTTCGATTTTGTGTGAAGGAGATCTCCAACATAACCTGGACTAGAAGGCTGGCCCTTGGAGGCAGGAATATTTACATCCGCGCCGAGTATAAGAAGCGCTTTAACGCATTCGGGTTTGTTGTTAAGACACGCGACATGCATGGGTGTGTAGCCACTATTGTTGCGACTATTCAAACTGTTTGGTAGGTCACCTCCGAGGGCTAAAATTATTTCTTTGGTAGATGTAGCTGCGTAATGATATACTGTGTTGCCTCTATTGTCTAAATGTTCCAAGGAACATTTAGCTTCTATCAATGTCTGCACTATATTCAGATTATTGGTCTGCACTGCTACCTGGAGAGGCGATACTCCCGTCACATCGTCTCCACTGTTCAGTTGACAATTCACAGCATCATAGGAGAAAGCTTTGAACAGGGAAAGATGAGCTGCCAAATGTGCCAATGTCCAACTAGGATACTCTTCTAACGTGTTGCATAATTTTTGTATGTTATTCACGTTACACATCTGTACAAAGAAATTGTAACAATTAAGAACCATGAATATTTTACATCATAATGCATTTGCCATCTAACTGGTTATCGATTATCAACAAAATTAATTTTAAACGAAACGTTCATATTGTATTACTAAAGATGATAATAAACATCAATATATCAAAATTTGAACGATAGAGTGAATATCCTTGACGGCAAGTACATTAAGAACGCACACTTTTAAAAATAATAATTAATTACCTCACGACAAATTTGTACAAGTATTGGAACCTTGTCCTTGTACATGTAAAAATGAAGCGTGGCATCCTCCTTAGATTCGCTTCGATATAAACTAAAAACATTTTAATAGAAATAATATTGCATTCTTCATGCTAGGAAAATAAACTATATAAAAATGAATACCTGTACGCCTCATGCACTGTTTCTGTACATGGTCTATGAAGAACAACTTCATATTTCTTTTTAAGGGATCCTTCTGGCTTATAAAGTACAACACTATCCTCGCGGAAATAAACATGTCGATCACTATATTCTTCGGGCTTGACTTTTCGAACTACGTTCGGAGGTGAATCCGCAAATACGATATTTCCAAAAACATGATCGGCAATCGATCCCAACCAAGCCATACCAAATAATGTTTAGGTTATCGACAGACGACACAAACAGCTTTGATCGACTAACAAGACTGTTGTAACGATTTTAACTAAAAAAAGTTGTTATGACACTTCGTCGATGATACACAGAAACGACATCGAATCATCGTATGTCGCTGATCGAAAATATAACCTTCCTCGAAATTAAAAAACCAGATACAAAAACTCTGAACAGTTATAAAAATAAAAGTTCATACAGTATGCAACAGTGATTCGTAGCGCGTAAAGGGAAAATCACCGAACTTACAATGATCCCCAACTCGAAAAACCAAAAAGTTCTGAAACTTTGGAGATATGTAGAGCATATATAATTATGTATCATGCAATATTTTTTGGTTACTCAAATTCACTGTAAAAGATAGAAATTTATACCCAAATATTTGGCCAATTTTGATATTCTTGTAATTTGAAAACTATACATCAGCCATGGTCAATTAGGGATTTTACTAGCTATATGTTCGGGCCATCGAGAAGCCACTGCTAATCCATTGTTGCCAAACGGCAGATCAATATCATGATTCATGAGGAAATAAGTGATGGCGCGCAAAATTACTAACCGTTATTTATCACAGTGATCGCAAAATCATTAACTTGATATTAAAAATTAAATCTAATTCAATTCTTTTCCCTCTATCTTATTATATCAGTATTTTAAAAGATAAAATATTAATTCTTCTTCTCGATGTCAATATTGTAATATTATTCATTTAAATAATAATGTAAAATGTTAAAATTTCTGTTGTGTTTATAAATTGTGTTTATAAACATACTATACTGTGTATAAAGTTTCACAAAATACCAATACATTACTTAATTATAATATGAAACACAAATAATAATTTTAAAAAAGTCTTACAAATTTAATAAATCGATTTGTTAATTGACATATATAATGTAATTCTACATACTACGTTATATTTTTGCCACTTTGCCGCCACCGTGGCGACTCATCCCAATAGAGATACCACCCCAACGTCCTGACCTCGTCAACATTCCTGAGAGCGATCCACGACGATAGCGTTACGTGGAAATCCACCGCCAGATCGGCACGCCGCCTCCGGAGGAAAATCTAACCGAGTAAGTCTAGGGAAATCCCAACGTAACAGTAAACACTTGCAGCCGCGTGATAGTGTTTGACAACACAACTACAAGCTTGTAAGAAAGGGAAGGGGGGATTTGCCATCTCGTAATCTTGTATTCTCCTTAAACGGCAAAAATTAATGTCGTCCAGCATATGGATAGATACGTTTGTATTGTATTTTTGTGCGAAGATCGTTAACACGGATTTATTTCATACGCATATTGGAAATCATTTCTACAGAAATTAAAAGATGCCAAAAGTACGAAGAAGTAAGAAACCTCCACCGGATGGCTGGGAACTGATCGAACCAACGTTGGAAGAATTAGAACAGAAAATGCGAGAAGGTAACAACGATATTGTATGATGGTTATGTTTAGAATGCTGAATGTTTTTGTTTATATCCGTAGTTTTTACTTGTTGTTTAAATTGTAGCTGAAACGGAACCTCACGAAGGTAAACGCAAACAAGAGTCTTTATGGCCGATATTCAAAATCCACCATCAAAAATCACGTTACATATACGACTTGTATTACAGACGGAAAGCCATAAGTCGTGGTTAGTATTATTAGAAACTACTCGAAACAGTTAGTATTTATTCGCGTATACATTATATTTATTGTGCTATATTTTTTTGCAGAATTATACGATTATTGTTTGAATGAAAATATAGCAGACAAAAATCTAATAGCAAAGTGGAAGAAAGTGGGATACGAGAACTTGTGTTGTTTACGTTGCATACAAACTAGAGACACCAATTTTGGAACTAACTGTATTTGTCGTGTTCCTAAAGGAAAATTAGAAGAAGGTAGAATAGTGGAATGTATTCATTGCGGTTGCAGAGGATGTTCTGGATAATGTTTAGAGGTTAAAATGTGTAAAGGTGCCTGTGGTTGTTTGTTTATTTGTCTCGGTAACACATGATACCTTACGGGTTCTTAAGAGCTCTGTTGCATGGCATCAACAATTGACGGAAGCGTAAGTAAAGGTAAACGTTTGTAACGTGCACATTCCTTTGCTTTTGTCTGAGTTGTATAATTTATAAAATCCATATAATTGCTACTAGTTTATTCGTTACGTTGTAACGAATAAATTTTCCAAGTTGGATTATGTCACACGCGAAACGAGAATGTACAAATTAATAAATGATTCTTGACCTTGGAATAAGAAAAGCATGTTCTGTTCGTTTCATGGGAAATGTTTTTTATGCATAGATGTCCAAGTGTTTTGTATTTGTAAGCGAGAAATTTCCATCGAATTTGAAATGCAAGTTATAGAGAAACTGAATAAAAGAAAGATAAAATTGTGATAATTACTTTTTACGTTTGTGTAAACCTATTGCAACTTTCCCTTTTTCCACAAAAATCGACAATACACTTAATTACGTTTCGCGTGGATTTCAATGAAATTAGTTTGATTTTCCTTGTGAGAGAACGTTTGTGTACATTGGTTATTTAATACAAAGAATCTTTTACCGTTTCGATGAATTGTAATTGGTGACGCGTTATTCGTTCTATTATCGTTACGGATTACGTTTTTCTTTGGAGACAAAAGTGACAATTGACATTTCGAAGCTTCAAAGTCTGTCTTGGAAGTCTGCGTGGCACTGCCAATAATTTGCCAAGAATATTTAATGCAACATTCGTGGATCGATTCATCGTCAAGACCGTTCTCTTTTGTTAAATTTTCTAAAAGTGTTCGCGATGTTTGCGAACTTCTACCGAGCACTTGCCACGAATACTTTATTCTACAAGGATACTCATTCTTCCTACACAAATTCTCCGTGAGGTAGGACAGATGCAAACAATCTGTATTTTTCCCAGTATATTGAAAATCACGCGTAGACCAAATTTCGTTACACTTATTTTTCAACACAGTTGCTGTTTCGTTCGTCTCTAGAAACTTATTCGATGCCGACAGATCGAATCCGGTAAATTGAACTTGTTTAGAAGCATTTGATTCAATAGGAAATTTTAATTCTTCACTGTTATGGTTAATGATATTATTCGATAATGCTTTCTTCGCGATAACATCAGTATTTGTTAACTTATAGTCACGATACGTGTTAATCAGTTGTTTACAAGGATACATGTCAGTTTTTATTGCCGTCGTCATCATAGTTGTTGACGTCGTTGCGACGGTTACTGTAATCGGTATATTTGAAATATTACTCTCTAACAGTTGTATCTCTTTGTCGAATATCCTTTGTAACGTATCCGTCGAGTACCAATCAATCTCTGGCAAATCATTTGACAATTGAAACGCATCGTTATTGATCAAGCTCTCATAAATTTTGCCTTCGTTCGAAACGTCTGATAAAGAATGATTTATTCTTCTCGTTGCCTCTTTACCAATCCGGTTTCTACATCTTTTTCTGAATTTAATTGGACGTTTATCCGTTGAAACACAATTGTGCTTCGCAAACGAATTGTTCGATAAATCGGACATTGGGGAGGGAAACGTTAATACAGTATTTTTCTTGTCTAGCGATTTCAGCGAAGATTTTTTAAAATTACCAAAAACAGGGAAAGTCGAACTTTTGTTCATTACATAACCTTGCTTCTTTGAGATCTTCTCGCAGTCATTCAATGTATGATTCTGAAAATACATTAACCTGTATACTTTCATTCTTGTTTTTTTTTAACGTTTGGGATCGTTCATAAGTTACGTCACGGTCTTAGATGTAGGGGAATTTCAAAGAAATGTTGGAACATTCCCAGCAAACGGACCGTTTACCGATCGGGGTAAGTTATGAGTCATTCGATTCGTTTAATTCAGTACATTATTAATATGCATTTCATTATTTGTAGAAGTTGCAGTAAAAACAAATTAGCATTTGACTTCCCCGGCATTTATAATTTACAGCATGAACCCAGTAACGACAGTCACTTGTTTCTACCTGTGAACCTGTCGAAATATACTTAACCTTACTTTTTTATTGCAACTTTCCGACAAATTTAAACAAAAATAACGAATTCCCGCAAATAATGAAATGCATATTAATAATATACCGAATTAGAATTGAACGGTTCGTTTGCGAGGAACGTATCGAAATGTTCTAACTCGAGGCATAGGCAGGTGGGAAGTCTGATTCAATGCGACGTAATGTTATCGAAGAAATTTTTTTTGTTTTTCAAGGAAGATTAAAAAGGTAAATTTAGCGGGACGTAATTTGTGAACGGTCTCTTTTACTACGAAAGAAAAGGATTAGAACAGGAAACGTTCCGAGATATTATTTAGAGAAAAAGATTTGAGATAAACGACACCTGTTTAGAGTGCAGCAGCGTGCTCGTAAATCTTTTTACTGAAAGATGAGAGGGTGGTTTCAATAGCGGCATTGTTATATGGTCACTGCATTTGAGAGGTTTAACAAGTTCGGTTCTTCGATCAGAGAGATTAGAACGAGCAGTTTTACTTTTCTTCGTGAAAATGGTCTTTGTTATAGGCACTAGAACATTATCGGTAATTAATCCGTGAACCATTCCAGATGACATCTTCGATTCCGAGGCTCGCCACGCGCGATTATTCTTTTTCACAATTTTAACGGCCATTATACTTTTTAATACGATGTAAGATGTTAAATTCTGATTTTGAATTTACACTCGATTTGCATAAATGTACTTGATAATTTTGAGATTTATAGAGAATCGAACTGTATACTAAGCAATATTGAAGGTTAAGTAACGTGCGCGTAAACAAAAATCTATCGTTTCTATGAAAGAAATTTCAGCTGTATAATATTTTTATCGCGGTTCAATTGTTTCGTTTTAGTATTTTCATTGGATGTTTCATACGGTTGGCAGTTATACGTAATTATCGTTAAATTCTCATCCACATGCAAAATCATATCTATATGATATGTATACGTATATCACATTGTGGGAAATAATATAATGCTTAGTATAGTTATAGAAGGATTTTGGTCAAACATGAATTACTGGAATTAGCTTAATATTTGTTAATTATGCATGCACAAAATCAGAAAACAAACATTATTATTGTTTTAAAAAAAGGAACAACTCTAAGATAATTCTCACACTAAAATTCGTACAGCAAAACATTCCTATAAACAACAGTTTAGTACAAATAGTTGTATTATACTAACAATAATACTTAGCCTCATGAATTGGCCTATTATGATCACACTACTTATACAACAAAAGAAACAGCAGTATAAGTACTAAGAATGACCTTGATAGATCAGTTTGCATGTAGCTTAGTATAGCTCAGTTTGTGATTAATGATTCTTAGAGTACAAAAATAGCTAGGACGCGAGAATAAGGTCAAATGGAGTATATGTTTATATGAACTTCTTTCATTGTTTTAATGCTTCCGATACCACATATTAGGATACGCTGTATATGTATAAATACACACGTACAGAAAAATCTTGACGTGCTCTTACCAATGAAGACCGACTGTGATGCAAGAAATCGGTTCGCCGACATACAATTCGCAAACAGCTGCTAGTGGTACTAGCTCAGAAAACTGTAAGGCTGTCGATGAAAGTAAAGTTTCTCATGCTGAGTGTGAACCACTATCACGCGTGCGCAGCTGTACGCAGATTGCCGTTCTACAGGCGGAACTTCAAACGTTAATAACTTTTTAACGAAGTCTCGATCGACAAATTTGCATTCTTGATTTTCGTCTTATTTTAACCTCCAGAATCTTCCATTAAAATTTTAAGAGTAAATGCAAAAACTTTTTAATATAAACAGATATAGCCCAAAATTTAGATCCTTTGTAACAGTTATTCAGAATAAAAATTCTTCACGATTGTTTCAAGAACTTAAATATCGTTACAGTTTTCAAACCCTGGTATGCACATACCCAGTTTAATAGAATAGCTGATTAAATTGGTCGATCACGTAAATACCTCGGTTAGGATGAAAATCGTCGTACTATGGAAACTGAAAAGGCAATAAACAAAATCGATAGTTCTGTTATCCAAAAAGAAATGTGAAAAGTATTCTATGTGGAACAGTGGTGGATGTAAAAGAGATCAAGGAAGGGACGCTTAACAAAAAGTTCAAGATTTCGAGAATTCAAAAATGATGCGATTTAAATTCAAATAATAGATTTTCTTGGCCATTTGGAGGGGCTACAAAAATTCCATTTGAATCGCTTCGAGTTTCTCGAATCCTCGAAATTGTGAAGACGTAGTGGAGCCTCTCTAGCGACGATGGAAACAAATCTACGAGCGAATCTCGACGATGTTCCATTGTCAAGTCATTAAAATTTTACGAAATTATGACCGCCTATTTCAAGTAAATGATATTTCGATGCCATCGCCGAAATTGTCTCGCGAACGATTTAAATTGATTAAAAAATATTTAACATTTTCTTTCACCTCGTCCGCGAGGATGTTTTTTATTTGTAAAAAATATAATAATATAATTACGACGCTGCTTGGCAGTAGCGATAATGATTGCAACTGTGGTAGTGACTGTGGTACAGGCAACGACGAGAACGGTGGTAACAGCAACGACATAACGACGACGTTTCACGTAACCGTAACGATAACTATATTATTTATCCTAAGACTAACGATAGCGACGATAAATTGAGGAAGTTTTGTAGAAAACAATGTAAGTGCCAAAATTGAGAAATATTGTTTTTTTTTTTTCCTTAAAATATTCTATGCGCCAATGGGAATACGGTAGTATACCATTTAAGTACCATATTTCTTTATAAATAGTTATAAATAATGTCAATAGATGGTATCGCCGATATGTCGAGCGTCATTTTTGCAGAAAACAATGTATGTAAGTGCCAATGTGTCACTCTATTGTTTGTCATATATGACTGATATAAAATTCTACTATTTTTAAATTGTAGTTCCTATACTGTAAGAATCAAGCAATTTTTGAAACTCCAAAAACGTTACGTGAAAAATCGAAACTTATAAACGAATTTCAGTAAACCATTACCTCTAGAATTTTTTATTTGTAAATGTGAATATGTCTGTAAAATATGCCTCCGGACATAGTTGTATTTCTTGAGCTAGAGATTTCGAAATCATTGAAAAATAAAAGGAACAAGTGTAAGCTATAATTACATCTGAAGGGGGCCATATAATTCATGCTTCCTCGATTTGACTTTAATAACTAATGTAATTATATTTTAAATATTAAAAACCTGCAAATTTGAAAGCAAGTTGGATTAAAATACGAGCGAAAATTCCTACCAAAGATAGAGTACAAGAAACGTTTAAGGAAACAGAAATATGGAAGACAAACAGTGTACTATGGAAAGATATAGGTTTGGAGAACATATCACATGAATTGTTACGGTACAATTTGAAAATAAACATTGAAAAAGAGTGAAACCTCCAAGCTACGAATATATTGGAACATGTGATTATTAAATATTATGAATTTTACAATAATTTACTTAAAATATAATGAAATAAATTCTTGCAATAACTTCTAGTAGAAAATTAAAACGTTGTATTAAAGAGATATATTTCTGGTTTTTTTTATACTTTCTATATTTTGATGTTCTTAAATAATTTGCGATAATCTGGCGCTTACAGTGCTTGTAAATTTAAATGAACGGTACCCTCGATTGTTTCTGCGACTAAGATGCAGCACATAAAACAAATTTTTTGTTTGTAAATTTATTTATTAATGTAAAAAATAAAAAATTTTGTTATGTCTTTAAGTAATTGTAGTCTTAGTTACATATAACGGTAAAAATAAATTAAGTTTTATTAATAATCTAAAGTCAACGATGTTCTTTTCTTCCTAGAAAATTAGATACTTTGCACGTACATTGTTTTTCTTACAAAACCTACTCAATTATCGTAACAATAACAATTGCAACGATATGAATGTGCCAACGTCAATAACGACGTCGTTCGTGCTGTTTACAACGTTAAACGCATAATATTAACGGTAATAAACAGTAAAAATGGCGACAACTCATTAACTGACGCAGTATGATTACAAGTCTCGATTTAAAAACAAAGGATTCCGAATGTCAGCATTCGTTCGAATCGAATTAAAAACGATACTTTGAGCGGTTTCAGAGGTACGAACGTTTCCAGAGATGAAACGAATAAACGAAGATAGAAAAAGAGAATAAAAATACAGATAGATCTCGACGAATGTCGCGTCACCTCTCGTTTGCTTATACGCGTGAAAACTAGAGATCCTGGTTTTGAACGTGTACTTAAGATACACGGGTATGTGTGCAGTTAATATATCCGCTTATGCAGCTACTATATCCGTTAATGAATCTGATTAATATCCGTGTATGTATTCCTCAATACACGAGTACACCATTTTGTCTCGCGTAGTAGTCAGTAGGATCATCGGGAGAGATCGGTTATAATCGTGCACGTTCGTTAAGCACGAAGATCGAGAAGAGAATCCGAGCTGAACGTTACGCGTGGTTCTCCTGCGGCGAACAGATCCTGACCTAAATAAATTGTGGTACGTGAGGAAATAGAACTGCGAGTTATTAATCTGTCTTCACCGTCTCATTTTTCATTTCCGTCGATACATATCAAATATATAAAAACGTCTTAACCCGTATACTTTCTAATTCACGAGTACACGGGTATGCATTAACATATTCGTATTTTATATTTTAAGTAAACACAATTTACTAAGTCGCGAATAAAAATAAAGAACATTTAACATATAGTCGATTAATCGTTCATTTTCATGTATAAAATCTAAAATATTTCAAATATACCTGTACTTTGATACACATGTACCCTTGAATTAGAAAGTACACAGGTTAGGACGCATACCCGTGTATTAAGTACACGGATTAATGCACGAATATATTAACTACACGTGAATGGGGATCTGTAGTAAAAACGTAGACGTCGCGAGCATCGTATCCCAACGTGTACGTTGCATGCGCTTGTGTCCGTGTTTGCGCGCGCTATTACGCGCCCGTGTAGGTGGATTCGTTAGTTCTCTACTAATCCTCTAAGATATTTAATGAATTTAATTGGGGAACGCGATCTATGTACAAAAGAAAACGACCTTCCATCGAATCGTTCGATAATATTTTGTCGACGCGCGGCCTGGTGGGTGTTTCTTTGGGGTACGCTTATTCTATAAAATAATCGACACTTCCTACCCTCGATATATACAAGTTTGTTCGGCATATTCTCAAGGAATAATGTGCGCGCATTATCGAGCACGTAACCGCTCTGGTGCGCGACATTCGCAGGCACTCTTGTTAACGTAACGCGAATACATTCTACGTACTATATGTATCTATATTTAAAAGGGCGCGATCTACAGCAGGCAGAGATTTGAATCATGTGAATTGTAACACACCGGCTATACAGGGTGTTCACGCTATTACTAGCCAGCGATTTTTTTCGAAAACTGTCATGATTAGAAAAAAATGGGAGAGGAAAAACTTTTATAGTTTTTTATGATCAATAGGACAGTGTATATCAATTTGGCATATTTACATTATTTTGTAAGAAATAAAGGTGACCTATAATTTTTTCTAGGTCATATGAAAGTATGTGTTGAAACGAATTCATTCGTGTAGTATATGACTTTCAAGGTTATAGAAGGTCATCAATGTGCATCAATACCTTATATAACAATAGCAACAGCAACTGAAAACGTAACCCGTAGAAGTAAAATGTATATTCCTGCACAAGGAAATTATATTGAACATCTTTTGTAATCTTACAAAAGTCTTCTATGACCTCGAAGGTCATCATATAGTACATAAATGAACTTGTCTCGACACATACTTTCACACGGCATAAAAAAATATATGGCATTCTATTAAAAAAATTTAAGGTGATCTTCATTTCTCGCAAAATAATGTAAATATGCAAAATTGATGTACACTGTCTTATCGATTATAAAAAACTATACAATTTTTCCCTTTCCTATTTTTTTTCTAATTATAATAATTTTCGAAATAATTGTTGGCTAGTAATAGCGCGAATACCCTGAATACAATAACAGACAAAAGTTTAAAATGATTACTTTCTTAATAGATAATCGTATAACATTATAGATACTAAATTGCGAACAATTCGTAGTTGGTTTTGCAATCGCACATGCACCCTGTTTATGATCGATTTAACAACTTTCAAAACATAAACAGTACTTAGGTATTATGAAAATGAAACTTTCGATGCTGTATTCGTTGCAGATATTATTTTAAATCCTGATGACTTGTGTACGTGAGTATTTGAAAAATAATTTTGTCTTCCAATAGAATAATGGCACGAAAGAAACTTCTAAAACTGTAAAGCAATATTTTTTACAAGAAAATATTACTGTCTTAGCATATTCATTGCAATCACAGAATCTAAATCCTATTGAGAAGTTACGGAGCAATGTTAAGCGTAACATATAGAAGCTGTATAAAAATTTAAATGATTTTTCCACTAAGATTGGAATACAATAGAGCAACATTTTAATAGAACATTATGCAAAATTAATCAATTCGATGCTACGAAGATGTGCTATAATTATTAACAATAAGTTATTCCATAAAATATTAGCTTTTTAATGCATTTTTATTACTTGTACTAATGTAAATAATATTTCCAAATATAGTCTTAAATTACTATCTGCAACAAAGAGAGCATTGAAGGTTCCATTGCATTTATACCACATAATGTTTATATTCTGAAAGATGTTAAATCGATCACAGATAAAGTGTAAGTGTATGTTTAATTGCAAGACTAACAATGAATTGTTGGCTATTCAATATCTGTAACATAGTATGATCATTAGACAGCGGATATTTATGCATTTATGGGAAATTAAAATTTTCAAAAACTACAGAATGCCTTTAATATGCAAATATATGTATAAGAAACACTTCAAGTAAGATACGAATTATTGCATTTAGAGGTTAAGACAACTCTCTGCAAAGCTCCCATTTCATTAATTCTATTAATAAAAATTTGCATAAAGATCTGTAGTTTAATGATTACCTATCAAGAACGTAGTTATCTTAAACTTTTCTTCGCTACTGTAGATGCCTGGAGACGTTCTCAACATCTTCTCGAATCCGTCAATGTTTCGTACCCACGATCGCAAATTTACTTTTCGGCTGCCCACTTTTCATTTCCACTTTCTTCACCGCTTCTCGGTATTTTTTGCAGTTCGCTTGTTCTAATATTGTAACGAGAAAGAGATATATGCATTTCGGTGCTGTTTTGCGCCTTCCGCTCAGTTTCCTTTTATTTAATGTGTCACCTGTGGTTTCGCCTGTTTTCTATTGCGTTTCGTGCTACGATTTCTTCGGTACGGCTCTCCACCATCGATATGTATACCTTCTATGGTACTTACCTCTAGCTATCTACCTACTTAATCAGCCATCCACCTAACTTGCCATTGTTTCCTCTTTCTCGCTCGATGGCACGGATAAAACGAGCGAAGCGATAAAATTCCTTTCAAAGGTTTATGCTCGGTTCGATGGCACGTACACGCGAGCGCAAGCTACTGATTGATAACGTTCGTTCGAAAACATCTTATAGCAGCATCCGTTAGCCGACCTTAACACTAGAACTATCAAAGCAATCAAAATGATCCATTCGTAATTTTTAATCAAACTTGTAACAAAAAGTTAATCGACTGAATTTTTTAAAATTTACCGGAAGTTTCTATAAGAGAATGAATAAACACTTATTTCCGTTGCATTGTCGTTTCGTGACGACACCTCTCGTACTCGCCACCAGAGGGCTAAGCTCTCGCGAACGCTCGACTGACCCCTTCCGTTCCTAAACAAGGTGTTCCACATTTTTCCGTACACACTCCAGCAGTGTGTTCTACAAGTAAAACTAAGACTAAGATGTTATATAACAAAAGATCCATAAACGCTTCGTTAAGAAGTCATGACAAAAATATGAAATGTGTGTTTCATACAACTGCTGATGAAGTCTAGTAAAGACTGTGCGATGTAGTACTCTTCGAAATGAATATCTTTATACTCACAATTAGACTTTTGGCATTTTGAACACTCTAATTCGTTCACAAGACACGATGAAACTAAAGTTACATTCGTGGTACAGTGCACGACTTCAACATTACAAAGACAGTGAACGTATCCTAATTTACATGTTTATGTTACTTAATATCGACACTACATACGTATCTCGTCTTGTCCTGTATTAAACCGAGAAAAACAGCGTTATCATATCTTTCACAGTCCACATTTTTTTTACAACTTCTTAACAAAGCATTCAAGGATTTTTTGTTATATAACATTTTAGTCTTAGTTTTACTCGTGTAAGCCCTGCTAGGATACTTTACCGATGCCTTACTCCTTTTCTTTTCTTACTTCCTGCTACTTCGCTTACCATTCCTCCATCTAGCAAGCGCGCCACAATTTCGACCTATCGTTTCAATTTCTTTGGTACAAATAAATACACTATAATTGTCGGTAGTTCTAGTGTCAAATGCATATATTCTTTCGGTACGGCAAAAGAAGAGAGGAGAGGCTTACCCGGGAAACAAAATAAGGAAAAAGAAACTGCGATTGTTGCGACAGCGATTTCGAATTCCATATATCTCTGTCCGCGACCGTGTCTATACTCGCACATTCGTCCTTGCCCGTGTCAATAAGGTACGTGGATGTTTCTCGGGGTGGCTCGACGCCTACAGATTCTACAAACGGTGATTAGGCAGACAAGACCGAGAAGAACGGCGAGGCTGGCGACTAGACCAGCACCCGCCCAGCCAGCGGAGCCAACCACACTGGCCAAACCACCCATGCCATTTCCGGACCCGGCCGCGTTACCTCGACCACCGATAGCATCCACTCCGCAAGTCTCGATAGACTCGTCGTTCGGGTCTTCCGGTATCGGCAATAAACCGCTACTGTTATTCGTATTTCGAAAAACGGACCGCGGTTCCGGTATCGGGCAATTTACTACTCCGTTACAGAGGAGCCTCGTCGGAATACAACCGGCGTCGCCGGGACACTGGAACCCGCAGAACTCCTCGAGTTTCTGCGTGTTCAGGGCACCGGACGCGTCGCGAGGTAGATGATACAGTTCCGTCCAAGCGATCTTAAAGGCGGCTCTCGCCGGAGCCATCGAACCGGTGAACTGAACGATCACAGCCGGCCACTCGGTCTCTTCTTGTTGCTGATCGATCGGTATCGACGAGGTTTGCGACGGCGAGAATCCTCCCGATTGCGAATGCGTCTGAGTCTGCGTCGGGTCGTGGTTCGAGTTGGGACCACGGTCACCGGGCGTACGAGCACCCGGAGCGATCTGCGCCGCCGAGATGATCGGCATTTCTCTCACGTAGCTCACGTTCTCGCCGCATATACCAAGAAACGGCTCCGTGTTGCCGGGCAAAAAGATTTCAAGTTTCCCGTCCTCGCAGGACCTCGACGCAAATTTTATTTTGTCGAAGTGCAACCAAACGTCCCTGTCCCGATTCACGCGCAATTCCCAAATGCATTTGATGGAACGTGGCGGGGATACGTAGCCGAGCGCTTCGTAGTGAGGGAACTCCATCTCGCCGTCGGTCGCGGCTGGCAGTATCGCGGGTCCGCACAACGGACTATGAGTGAATTCGTACATCGCCTCGAACAATGGCGCGGGCTGTTTGAAGTAGCTTGTCGCGGCGTGCGCGCCGTCCACCAGCAGCTTTAGCTCGAGCTTCTCCCCTTGCGAGACCACGCGAATCACCGGTTTCCCTTCGCCGTTCGGTCCGCTGCCGATCGGCGACCGACAGATACAGTGGCCCTTACCGTTCCCGGGATCCTGTGGTTGCTGATACTGTTGGCGTTGTTGTTGCTGTCGCTGCTGCTGATGATTCTGGTGCGAATCACCGTTCATCGTGGCGACCGGTTCTCTAATGATTATTCGGTCGACTCGACTGTTCCAGCAGTGGCCGCACTGCGCGTACGGATGTTCCTTGAAGGAGACCGACTTCACGGTTAGGATCACGCGAGCGTACAGTCGCTTGTCCGTGACGAACGTGTAAGTGCAAGAGAGATCGGCGGGCGGGTCACCGGGTCGCTTGTAAACGAGAGTGTTGAGCGGCGATCGGAGCCGGCCGGATCGTGCTTTCCACGAGGCGAACGTCTCGTCGCACTCTGTGCCGGTCACCGGTTCACCGAATCGCGTCGCGTTGAAGAAATCGTAGTGCGCCCAGTAATAAAGGGAACTGCCCGAGTAGCTTCCTGTTTTGCTCTCGAATTTCACGAACAGCGCGTTCGAGCTCGAGACGAAGTCGTGCTTCTCCATTGGTTTGCTGAACGTGTCGCAGAACGTCTTGATAATCTTCGCGTCGTCCGGCCAGTCGGAGTCGTAGAGAGTCAGACTTTCGCCGCAGTCGCCGTCGTACGGTTGTATCGGCGACTCGATACGATTCACACGGAAACTAGGGAAATAGAGCCTAGTGATCTCACCGACCCGACCCTTGAGAAGATAGGTACAGCTGGTGTGCGGTGGGTACCAATGGACAACCGAGAGGAATATTCCCTCGTTACCGGTGTGCAGGGACTCGCTGTTGAGCAACCAATCGCAGTTACCATTCCGTACGCCGGCGGTCTGCACGTGGCCGGGCCAATTCCCGACGTTGAAATGAAAACCAGTGTTCAGAAGCGGCCCCGCTGGCGACGAGATGAACTCTACGTAGAGGTCCTCGCTGGTACCGATTATGCTGTAAGGGAATTTCCCCATACCGCAGAAAGTACCGATAACAAGACTGGTCTCGTCCTTGCCGTCGTAAACGCGTATGTAGTCGTACGGACAGTGCTCCGAGCCGGAGCTTATTGGCCTCATAGGGCAGGTCATTATGTTCTCGCATCTCTGCCCGTCGATATTGAACTCCTTGTTCTCGATATAGAGCTTTATATAAGGTAGCCGTGTGTTCAGTCGGTATTTGCAGTGCAACGCGCGTGGATATATGCCCGGATAGGCCGGGCTTTGCACGTAACACGTTTGCAGTTTGCAATCTTTGAAGATTCGCTCGCAGTAACTTCCGGGCACGATCTCGCCCCTTCGGTTCGGATAAAGTTCCGGGTGTTGGCCATACCTCAAGTACTCGTCGAACTGTTGCTCCGCACGCGAGTCGAAACTGAAGTACGTTTGATCCGTGAAGTTGTCCGCGTGGAAGATCACACGGACGAAATTCGTTTCGGAAATGAACGACTGCGGTTGCTCTGATTCCCCGCAGTACACGCCTGGATCCTTCTGATTGCTCAGTTCTGTTTTCGTGTTACCGTCTACGATCTGTAAACAAACACGATACAGCCGTTATGTTCATTGGTAATTCAGAAATCATTATATACACAATTTGGTGATTATGGTCACTTTCACCGAATTAACTTTTCACGATTTCCCCCCAAACTGTGTAAAAAGTTGTGAAACAAACGAGTGGACTCGCCAGTAAGGCGTCCTAGCAGGCCCTGTCTTGAAGGGTCAGTCGAGCGTTTGCGAGAGAGCGAGTACCCTCTAGCGGCGAGTACGGTAGGTATCGTCACAGTAATGTATCAAATTGCTTAGAATAAAGCAATTTTACGTAACAATGGCTTAAAAGGTAATGTTAATAACGATACTACACCCGTAAATAAATAAAGTTAGAGTCTGTCTTGTTAAAAATGTGAATGACTATACTTGATATGTTTTCTCTGTTTAGAATACTGAGGTAATTTGTATGCTTTTTAGATGTTTAAAAAGAATTAAACAGTTAAAACAATCTAGGGGACGAAGAAGGGAGTAATAGATACAAGTAGTAGATGTGTACCTGTAGGTAACCTCCAGAACAGGTGGTAGCATTCTCCAGTACGCCGACTTTAAACTTTTTGAAACGAACACGCAGAATCCACTCTCGACCGCTTCCACGAAACCTTCGAAATCGGTACCAGCAAAGTATAGGCTTTCCCCAATTAGCTGACGTCACAGCCGGGCTCGATACATCCTCGTACACGTCTACTGTCTTGTTGCAATGTCCTCGATCCACTGAAACAGACAATATACAAGTTTTCGAACAAGTGATTCTTGCTCGCTATCGCATTCTCTCCTATTTGTTCATGTACGAATCAAGGTCGATTTATAGTATCCGTTCGGGCACAGAACGTTTACAAAACGGTTCAAACAGAACACTTAATCTTAAAAGATGCTGTATAGTATTATTATTAAAGGAAAAAAAAACGTTTCTCTGTTCATAAAATTTTCAAGAAGAAAAGAGATTATGCCACTCGTTTGTCCGCTAGCAAAGTTTTCGTTGAACCAAATTGCATATCGTACGAACGTGTTCGTTCAATTATACAGTCTGAAACGTAACGCGTCCAGACTGATTCGCGACGTTCTATAGAAACACCCCTATTTGCAACAACGTTTATCCGAATCTGACTGTTCCTTAAACCGTTCCATGCCCGAACGAATAATATACGAGGTGTGATAAAAATAATGACGAGCATTTAAAAATTTCCTTTCTGTGACCCGACACGGCCGCCATATTTGCTGGACGTGGGCTTCCCGCTACTTTTTCCTATTTCCCAAAATGAAAAAAAATATCGTAAATGAAATAACTTTCGCGAGTGTCTCGAGGACTGAAAGAAATCTTGGACCAAGTGTGTTTTATCAAATGGGTACTTGTTGCCGCCACGTGAAGGGTTTCGTTTTTGAGGAAGTGACAAACTAACTAACTAACTAACTGACAAACTAACTAACTGACAATTAACTAACTGACAAATTAACTAACTGACAAACTAACTAACTAACTAACTAACTAACAAACTAACAAACTAACAAACTAACAAACTAACAAACTAACAAACTAACAAACTAACAAACTAACAAACTAACAAACTAACAAACTAACAAACTAACAAACTAACAACTAACAAACTAACAAACTAACAAACTAACAAACTAACAAACTAACAAACTAACAACTAACAAACTAACAAACTAACAAACTAACAAACTAACAAACTAACAAACTAACAAACTAACAACTAACAAACTAACAAACTAACAAACTAACAAACTAACAAACTAACAAACTAACAAACTAACAAACTAACAAACTAACAAACTAACAAACTAACAAACTAACAAACTAACAAACTAACTAACTAACTAACTAACTAACTAACTAACTAACTAACTAACTAACTAACTAACTAACTAACAAACTAACTAACTAACAAACTAACTAACTAACTGACAAACTAACTAACTAACTAACAAACTAACTAACTAACTGACAAATTAACTAACTAACTAACTAACTAACTAACTAACTAACAAACTAACTAACAAAAATGGGTCAGAAATAACCCAGGGATAGTGCAACGTCCTGCAGATCTTGATTCACAGGATGAAACAAACCAGGCTGTGGGCGTTGCACGATCGAAAAATTGTCCGAAATTCGAACATCGAACGCCTCCAAGAAGGCACTAATAGGAAGATACGGAGTCCTCATCCAGGACAGGATCAGTGGACGTTCGACAGAATTAGCTGTATTCTCAAAGAACCTGAACCTTTGAACTTGGTTTCGCGCCGAACGCGAACAAGAGAACTGTACTCCTTAACACGTTGACTGCCAGTCTAAAATCCTAAAATTGTTTACGGGACCAAAACTTTCATTTTAATTGTAAACTACACAACTTAAAAGTTGTCGTAGTAGTAGCTTTCGTAACCTCGTTAAAGGACAATGTTAAGTCATAGAGGGGTTTACTGACCCAAGAGCGTACAGCATATGCTATACACCGTTGGAAAGGTCTTGCCAAGGCGAATCGACTGATACCATTTTTAACTTCGATATCAGATGGGATAATGTCGAAAAATGGCCTCAAAGTTCGAGATTTTGCGGTTTTGAACAAAAGAAACCGGTAGTAAAAGCCCATCCGGCCCGAGGGACCTCGGGTAGGCACCTGAGGAAAAACCGAGGGGTGTAAGCGATACTCTAGCAGATTGGGATGGCAAATGTGCCCCACCACCTTCATTTCAGTGCCGTGTTGGGCCTGCGTTTGTCGCATGGGCCCCGTTCCAAATGCCCAGGGCGAAATCGCCAATGGATCAGTTGTTTTTCATGAACATAATATATTCATGATAGACGATTCGCAGGTATGAGTTGGGAATGTGCAGGTTAGTATTCAGTATTCACATCATTATGTTTCGTTCAATGAATAAAATGTCACTCCATTCACTATTGTAAGTGACGCATTAGTCTGAATACTAATCTGCACATTCCCAACTTATACCTGCGAATTGTCTACCATGAATATATTATGTTCATGAAAAACAACTGATCCATTGGCGATTTCGCCCTGGGCATTTGGAACGGGGCCCATGCGGCAAACGCAGGCCCAACACGGCACTGAAATGAAGGTGGTGGGGCACATTTGCCGTCCCAATCTGCTAGAGTATCGCTTACACCCCTCGGTTTTTCCTCAGGTGCCTACCCGAGGTCCCTCGGGCCGGATGGGCTTTTACTACCGGTTTCTTTTGTTCAAAACCGCAAAATCTCGAACTTTGAGGCCATTTTTCGACATTATCCCATCTGATATCGAAGTTACAAATGGTATCAGTCGATTCGCCTTGGCAAGACCTTTCCAACGGTGTATAGCATATGCTGTACGCTCTTGGGTCAGTAAACCCCTCTATGACTTAACATTGTCCTTTACGAAGCCTATTAAAATTTATTTTCTTTAACATTTCAACTTGAATTAATGAAACGGAAGATTCGCAGAGGGCTATCTCAACCCCTAAATATAATAATTCGTATCTTACTTTAAGTATTTCTTATATTAGAGGATTAAAATTTCCCATAAATGCATAAACATCCGCAGTCTAATTATTACAGTTCTACTGTTAAAAGTTCTGTCACCCATATATGAGTGACGTGGCAGTCAAAGTGTTAAACTTGGACATTATCAAGGATATCACCTTACAGATGTCCGTTTTAAATTTGGATCGTTACCAGATCACCTTACAAGTGATTTTTTTGTAAATCGACTGGACGTTGATTCGATACATAATTTAACTCACCGAACTATACACGAAGTAAACGGTTAACCCTTTGCACTCCGAATTATATTCCAATTTTGTTACCAGCGGCTCCCAATGCTTTTAAGTGTTTTATTTGAAATTTACCTGTTAAAATAAGTATTTTATTTACACTGTTGTTGTATTTTGTAATTTTCAACTGTATGATATCTGTTTGGTTTGGACTTGAAAAAATGTCGAATGAGACTTGACGAAGGAGCTCCTGAGATAAAAATTGATGTCGAGTCACACTCGACATAGGAGTGCAAAGGGTTAATATACTACTTTGAAGGGGGATAATATAAATGCTTTCTGAAAAAAGATGAAAATTCTCGTACTTTTTCTATCACAGCCGGTAAATCGACCTTTAAACGATACAGAAACCAGCGACAGCTCGACTCTTACCGCGAATGAAAGACGAAAGTATTACCTCTGCGGATAGCAGCAGGACTGGGGATGGCCAATACGAAAAAGAGAAAAGTGAAGATTCCCCAGTCCCAAGTACTCGATACCATCGGTACGCGCATTCCAAGGTGTGCACCACTTCGTCCCCCTCGAACCGTCAATCGAATTTTATGTTTTCCCGTCTCAGCATCGTTCCGTTCCTTCCGTGGACCACCTGTGGACGTGAAAGACGATTCTCATGAGCGTACCCGTGGGACGCGTACTCTTCGTAAATTCGCGCGAGGGGTGTTGCACCGTCTCGACACTCGAACGGTATAACAGAGTTTCGAATCGAATTCTTACGCGACAGCGACTCTCGTCTTCGCGCCTAAATTCTAAACCGCGATCCGTAACGCGTAGACCACGTCGAAGACGCGAATTCCCAATTGATTTACTCGTTATATGGATTAACCAAGCCGGAAGTTGCTCGTTCCGTCGTTCACTCCAAAACGGGGCTATAATTGGTTCAATCCGTGTTAACTCTCCTCTTGTTGATGGTTCAGGACCCGAGCAAATCACATATATTTTGCCTCCCTCTATTTCGTGCGCGTGATCGCACATACTTTCACTCTCTCGCTCTCCCTACCACCCTCCCTCTCTCGATGTATGTACACATACATCAATTTAATTTTTCCCCCGCCTTCGAGAGATTTTTTTTCATATTGTTTCGGGACAATGTTCGTTTCGATGTTTCTCCAAGACGAAGGATCCGAATAGACGAATGTAGAGGGTCAGACTCTGAAAAAAAAACAAAAAAAAAAAAACTATTGGTTGTCGATAAATGACTGTAGTATGTCTAGTCTGGCGTGGTTGTTCGTACGTCGATTACTATCGTTTACGTCGTGATCGGTTTCTCGCGACTACCACGATGGCGTGCACTTCAGTCCTCGATGGTACTCGATTCAACAAAGCAATAAGGTACACTCTCGTTGATCGAAAAATATCGCCGCAATGTTCGGTTAACCGATCGGCACGAGTTCCCCCCGACCGTTTCTTATCGAAGCTTTCGACGATGATCGATTCGATAGTTCGATTCGACAATCGATATCGAAGAACTTGCCGTGGCGAACGCGAATGGCTTTTCCAAGCTGTGCTCTCAGGTTATCGCATCAGTCGACCAAATACACGCCAAATGCTGCGCGAGCGCAGACAAGGCTATTTCGTCCAGCTATGGATACTGCATTCTCGAAACATCATCGACGAACGTTCCTTCCTCTTTGCTTGTTCGCTAACACACGAATTATTACGCTTTCTACCCTTTACCACTTTCCCCCACAACGTTTCCCATTATTCTTCTCACTGGTAGTCACACGTATTAAATCTCGCGACGCTTGTTCAATTATTACTGCGAACACTGCATACGTACACATTATTACATGAGCACAAACACGATAACAAATTTTTGGACAGACAGTTCGTAAACAGGTCACTCGTTTTCCTCTGCCCTGTTTAACGTCCCTTTATTATTATTATTATTATTATTATTCATTTTAATCGTTGCTCCAAGGTATTCGAGCGTTGGATTCAGCACGGATTAAAACCATCGCCGTGCGTTTCTGAAATAATCAATCGTTTTTCGTATAAATCGGCTGGCTCGCGAAATACGATCGAATCTCGAGCACGCAAAGCAGCGAGATACCGGCGAGAATGTAGGCGTGCGATCGAATATGGATACAGGACGAAGCGTACGAGCTTTCGTGACGTAGTGAACGGTGAAAAGTAAATGAAATCGGTACTGTACCGGTTGAAATACTGGTCTTTCATCGACGACTGACTCGGAAGCTTTGGTACACGGCTAGACGAAAGGTTGGTTCTGGCAGGCTGGCTGGTTGGCTGACTAGTTAGCTAGCTGGTTGGCTGGATGGCTTAACGTCCGATGGGAGATTCAGGTCGAACGTCGCGCAAGCTCGCTACACCCCCTTTCTTCTTCGTTTTCTCCCTTGCCCTCTCTCGCCACGCTTTCCTTCTCCCTCGTTTTTTCAATTCTATTTTTTCTGTCAATCTCATTTTTTTTCACGCATACGTTTCACAGCCAGTCTTGTTTTCGTGTATATTCCATATCCCTGTCGAACATTTCCACTCGCCACTATTTTTCTCGTAACGCTTTCCACGTCGCTGTGGAAACGCTGGAAATAATTACCCGAAAACTCTGAACGAACTTTTTCTCGTGATTCTTTCCAAATTCTATAAAAATTCGTGTAAACTAACGAATGCAAGAGTCGTCGAACGAACGATCGATCAACGACCGTCCAAAGAGCTCCTTTATCGCGATTTACGTTCGAACGGTGATCGAGGAACAAAGATATCCTTTTTGGAACCGAACGAAAGAAATAAGACGTTTCGCGCGTTTATAGCGAGCCTATGAACTAAGACCGGAATAACGAGTTAATCGGGACGTGGTCAATCAATCAAACCTTTTGAATCGAACGGTGAACTTTGTTTCTTTCTCTCGAGTTCGTCGTTACACTATCGTCTGTAAATATTTGTAAAATATTTACAGATGTAATCGAGACGAAGTAGGAGAACGGAGAGGGTGGGTGGGCGAAACGGGAGAAAGGACGTAGCAGGACAATCCATGCTCAGTACCGAATTTACAAACGACCGACGATTAAGATAACGCGTCTGGCGTTGTTTTCTTTTTTCATTTTATTTCACTCGCGAAACGATCGAGCCTCGGTAATGTATTGATTATTCGATAAAAAACAGCATAACGTTTATTTTCACTGACTTTGAAATACAATTATCGACAGCGAAAACTATATACAACTCGTTTTTTGTATCTTCTCCTCCGTCTTACCATCGTTTCAAGCGCACGCTCAAAATATATATTGTATCTCTTTCCAAATTTTAGAAAGCTTACCGATCGATTATCGTTAATAAATAGTAAACGAAAGGGAAAACGTCTCACGTCGCCTTGGATAATGAAATTTAACGTAACTACCGATAAAAAGAAATCTTCCCTCGTGACTACTTGAATTTTTAGCGGAACGTGAGCAGGCAATCGTTTTCTATGACTAAAACTTTTCAACTCAATTTGCGACCCCGACGGTTCGCTTCGTCATAGGGCACGCTACGCCTACGAGAGTCTAGGAAAACGATCACGAACACAGATAAAAACAGATTCGACGCGGTGAATATTCGTTTAAGAGTTTATTTACAAGTGGCAACAAAAATACTATCACCCCTTCCTGTATGATTATAGTACGTTTAATAACTTTGCCAGATAAACAGGCACGTCGGAAAGAGATTTCGATCGACGTTATTCAGCAAAAAAGTATTGCTCCGTTTTTTTCATTATTTTTTTTTTTTTTTGTCATTTTTTTTTCTTTTTTCTTTAATAGAAATTTTGCAGAATCGTACGCAGAACTACAATCTACAGTTCGTGTCTATGGTTTCGCGAGCATCTCAGGAAATAGCAACAAATCAATTCGATCGATCGTAACGGGAACGATCCAAGTCGAAAGAATGAAAAAGATAACATCACTTTTCTTTTCCTACGGTAATGATTGCACGCTCAACAGAAACATTTAAACGAAGTGTTCGATGACAGCTATGTACCCGACCGGATTGATTCGTAAAACGAAAACGGCCCGCCTCGGTCCTATGAGCTTGTTTACGATACAAGTTTTGCAGCTTGCAATCAATTTCCCCCAAACAAATTCGCTTACCAATGTCAGCAGCAACGTCAGGACACACGACCAGCACTGAGGCGAACGACGCGAGCTGTTTCGATAGACTGTTCCCTCCTGTTGAGATTCGCCAGATTTTCGTTTTAAATACATTACGATATGATTTCAATCGAGATACTATGTCTTTTATAGATAATAGTCTTACAAGGATTACTCCCTCCTATGAATACGCAAAAGCTCCCGCCGTCTCCTCGTACATACATCATAATCATAGATCAAAAACCATGAAAAAAGCATTCGATGAAGCGTGTGTATACGCAATTTACACGCAAGCGCGCGCGAATACATGCATGCATATATATCAATATACGTATACCGTCGGAATCTTAAAATAAATGATACAACCTGAGATGCGACCATTCCCCGCCGATAAGAAATTTACAATTTATAATAAAACTTTCTTCTACGAGTCTTCCTTTACGAGAAAATCGTTTTTGAAAATACATTGAGTACGCGTGTACGCAACTAAGGCCTCAATTGAATGGATATTATATATATACATATATATATATATAATACTTTTAGAAGCAATAATTTATTTATTTTAAAAAACAATTTTCCTACCAAAAATATTTAAAACATTTTATAATTAAGAAAAAAATCTGTTATTCAACTGCTTGAAAAGTTATAAATTCAAACTACGTTAGCAAACGTAGTTCCCTTGCTCCATTGCCATTGTTTTCAACGAGCTTGTCAATTAATCGAATAGAAGAAAAAAAAAAAAAAAAAAAAGTAAGTACAACATTGTTTTATGAACGATACTATTAATAATGTTAACCTGTAATTTCACACACTTTGCGTTTAAATACGACAGAGAGATCCGTAAAGTTGATGAAACTGCCAGGTTTCTAATCGTGAGCACGTGTACCCGTAATTTGAAAATCATTTATTTCAAAATCGAAGCCCCACGCAGAAATACGCTATCCTACAAATACGATTTATCTTTAAATGAAAAATCACGTTCTTTCAGGTTGTACCATATATTTTGAGCCACTGTGTACACACGCGCGCACCGTCGATAATATGACTACAAAAAAAGTTGCGTAAAACTGAACGACGAAACAAATTTGAGCGCGAAGAGGGAACACAACCTTTGTCTTCTCACCTTGCTTGCAAATGTCCCACTTGTTGCGTTAAACAATACATTGGATCGAGTATTTATTATACGCAAACTAAAGTAATCGTTATGAATAAAATGAATGAAAGTACAACATTGAGTGTACGCGTACGTGTTCTGTACGCGCCCGTACGAAGATGAGGATGTATGTAAATTTAGATGTGGTATGTATACGGGCATGGATCCGAAAAATTTTGGGTATAAAGGTGTGTACGCACGTTTGCTGGCGCACACATGAGCAGGTATGAGGTACACGCGCGTGCAGATATATTCAACGATGAGCGAATAGCGCGATGTAACAAATGTCCTACGTAACAGAAACCTAGGACAACGATTCAATGGTCGTCCATTTCATGAACGCGCTGACGTTTCGACTGTGGTTGTTGATGCTCGAGTGGCTCGGGACTTTCAACGATAGCAAGCGGTGCCGGTGAACCTGGAGAACTATCCGATTCCTCGTGCGAGCGTTTCACAACTCCGACGCCTGCGTCGGGACCAATAAAGCTTCCGCTGAATACAAAGTAACGATCAGCTTCGATGTATTAGTTCAAAGATGCAACGACAAAAAAAAAAAAGTCTCGCGTTATCGCATACCTGTAGTTGTATGTGGTTTGTACAATAACGGGAGCCGGACTATATTGACCGGCCGGGGAGAGAGAATGTTCCTCTGTAGTATTTCCGGATACGACGTATTTGTCTACAAAAAAACAGAGTACGCTTCGAGTTGTAAATATTTACATAGTCGGTAGGAAATTTATATAGAATATAGAAAAAATATATTAAGCATGGTAAAAACAATCTACTGCTACTACTTCTCTACCTGTATCACCGGTGACGCCGTTCGTGACAACAGTGATTTGCTGCATCAGGCGACCTTTATGAGATGACTGGCTCGAGGGCGCATATGGATGACCTGGTGACCCAGGCGCGGACTGACTGGTCAATTGACCAGCCGGAGAAGGTACAGAACTATCTGTATAAGATTCTGGACCTGGCGATGCTTCCCTACTAAGGCATTCCGGCGTCATCAGTCCACTGATTCCTACATGAGATGGAGAAGCAGGTGCGCTCCTGGATGTTTTCAATGATAACACATTCGAATAAAGTTCATTTGCATTTTTTTTACGCTTAACGCGTATAAGACAGAAATCTATCCAAACCGATAGAATATGAAAAATTATGTACCTGGATGACAGACCGAAGGGAGCACGGAAACAGGGAACTCCACGTTGTCTTCTTCGCCTGAAGGCTTGTTCTATAAGTTTAGCTTCGGATTGAGGATCTATTCTCCAGAAAGATCCTTTTCCTGGTTCTTCTTGGCTTCTCGGTACTTTAATAAAATATCGATTCAACGAAAGATTATGCCTTATAGAATTTTGCCACCCTTTATCCGCAGTCCTATAGTATGGATAATTCTTGGTAATATAAGAATAAATGCCAGACAACGTCAGCTGTTTATCTGCTGCGGATGCTATTGCTTGAACAATTAGCTGTGCGTACGAATACGGCGGTTTAGAGTCATCTTTCGGTGGACTACAATGCGCCGTTGTACCATTTGGTCCAGTACTGCTTCCGCCTCTATAACGTGATTCAATGCCAGGCTCAGGACTTATTTGTCTGCTTGAACTTTGCCCACCGTCGTGCCTTTCTAGGCCAGTATTTTGTGGGTCATTGGCAACAGCAGCCGCATACACAGCTACCATTTGAAGATCCGCCGATATATTTCTCCTTCCTTGACCGGCACGTGGACTAGCAGGACAGGAATTAGCAGCACTAATAGTTCCGGTTGGAGAAGGGAATGGGCTGCTGTATCCTGCATCCGGAATATTGATGCGTAGAGGTGGCAATGGAGCCCTTTGTTTTGGTGGTGAAGGTATGCGTACATTATTTTGCTCTTGTTCATCGACTAATGATTGAAACACGAGCCTTATATTTGTACTTGGGAATCTGAATGTGCACCTGTAACAACAAGAAATGTTCAAGAGGCAATATATGTAAATAAATTTTATTAATCGTGAAAGAAAATTTTATGATATTTTCCAAAGAAATCGTGACAGAAGATTATCACGTTATAGGCAATTCGATTAATTTGTTTGAAAATCTTTTCCGCAAAGGAGCATACACCGACAGTTATTATCAAACGAAATTCCGCAAGTTGATTTGAGAAACACTATATCGGGAAATAATAACAAATAAATTCGACTCGCATAAAATGGTATCATCGATTACATGAGAGCCCATACAAGGTACTTTCCTTGTAGATGAGAATCTACAATGTGCGTGCAAGAGGCGTGCAAGAAACGTGCAAGAAAGGTTAAGTCGGCTCGATAAAGGCTCGTATATATCTTACGTCTTTGGCAACTGGAAGGCAGGCGCGCCCTTTCGTTGAAAAACTCCATCAACGAAAACACCATTTTTACCGTTGCAGATCATAAAGAAGAAAGGATGATCATAGAAGATTTCGAGGTGTCGTCGCGAGATAAAGCTGGAGTGGCCCATGTTGACGTCGACCTCACCCTTGCTGCTGTTACGCCCGATAGTGATACGTCGCTGTCTAACCATGTACTCGAACTCGCGACCCTCGAGCCGTGCAATCGGTGCACCTTTTGCCTCCGGGTTCCACTGCATCTTCGTCGGACTAGCCGGTGCCGACTTCAGTGCCAGAAGGGCCCACGCGTCGCTCTCCTGAGTACGAGAGTACGTAGACATAGCACCAAGTGAGCGAACCCTCCTTCGGAATAGAATGAGAGAGGGGAAAAGGAGAGGTAGACAGATAGATATAGATAGATAGATAGATAGATAGATAGATAGATAACTGAACAGATAACTAGATACATAGACGCGGTTAGAGAACGAACAAGTTACCGCCGAAGGAAGAAACGACGCCGGAGTCGCGGTTTAGGGCCGCTTATACGGAGAATGGGAACAAAGCTGAGGACTAGGAATTAAATAATTTTATCACAAATTGACACCAACGAACACCAACGATCGTAAGAAAACACGTAAAACATCAAATAGCTGGTTAAACTACCGAATTGACACACAAATTCACCAACCGGTCCACCGACCAATCGATCGACCAATCGATCAATCGATCATTCGATTGATTTAGCTACACACACGTTTAATGAAATCTCGTTTTCCTTTTTTTTGGTCATAACGCTATTTTTTCTTACTTCTCCCATTTTTGTTCGTATCGCTAAACTTATTGATAACTGTTATGAACAATTAATAAAGAAGTAAATATATTTTATCTTTCTTGTTTATACGCGATTCGGAAGATGGAAAATTACCACGTGACATACACGCGCGAATAGTTTTCGATTTGAACGCAGCAACGTATCGGATCGTCTACAGTGTGTGGTCAGATTTGGCATAATTGAGTGCATCGAGGACCACCTAGTAACGATGAATTTCCTATAGCGCTTAATGGAATGTGAGAAAAGCAACCATATGCTACTGCACGGGCCGCATGTACGTGAGTTAGGCGTTTCGCGCAACTTCGGGAAATCGAGAAAGAAGGCGAACGTGAGCTTTTCCTTCTCGATCTTGCAATGGATGAAATTCGACCTTGCACAGCCGACATCAGATTTCGAGTCTCGACTGCCAAAGCATATTTACTTTCCGACCTACAGTTACAAAATCGAGCGTACACCTATGTTGATAATGAAGATTGGCGACAAAATAAATACAAACACACATATATAATTTATTTGTATATTTTGACAGATAACTCGTAAACAAATTTTTTAATAGCATAGAGTATCTGTTTATTTCTAATCGAAAACCTAAAATCGAAGCTATTTTGCTTCCACAAAATTAAGTGCACACATAAATATTTTCGTTATTACGAATATGATGTATGTAGATTAGTATTTTGTGGCGAAGTCTTTAAAATCAATAGCAGCCCGTAATCGTCATGACATAGAATTAATTAATTTTTCTACAAAAGGAGGCGAAATATTACTCCATTCTTACTGTAATTTTAGTTGAAAATCTTCTTTGTTTGTGAAATTATAATTTGACATTTTGGATTTTAATTCTCCCCAGAGATGTTCGATCGGATTAAGAGCAGCTGACTGGAGAGGAGTTTTTCACAATTTAAACACATTGGGCATTTTATCTATTAAAATGTACAAATAAAATATGTATTGTGTTCTTAGTCTTAAATATGTGTATGTATTTGTATTCATTTTATCGCCAATTTTCATTACTAACGTATGTAGATGTACACTCAATTTTGTAAGTGTACATAAAAACAGAAACCGCGCGAGACAAATCGAGCAGTCAGCTACATATTGGCAATACCTAAACAAAATATTTTGGACATCACTAATAAGACTGCGGTTACAATGTTAATGCATACTTCCACGAGAAGGCACAGCGTGTTTACATCCCCACTCCTGTTGCAGTCCGCTGACTTACAGGCATTGGTCGAAAACGGTGACGAAGATCAGTGACAGCCAATCAGCGGATTGCAAGAAGAGTGGGAATGTAAACACTCTGTGCCTTCTTCTCGTGGAAGGACGATATACATATATATACCACACCTTACGTCGTGGTATCGTTGATGCAACAAGGCGGAATCTACGATCACAAATGAGGTCATCGATACGGAGGACCCTTTTTTCCTACGCACGTTCGAGGAGCAGACCCCCGAACGCATTTCGGCTTAAACGGCTTAAACCTAAACACTTCGCTCATCGATACCAACGATCCTAGCCTAAACAGAGCCTAGCATATATATACACTTCTTACAAAACGATCTTTCTGCATTGGAAAAGATCTAACTGTTTAGTAATTTCATCATACGTGGATATTTAATTTTACCTTCGAAATTTTCGAAATTTTTTTTCGTTATCGTACTTATACCCACGATTGTCGCGAGGTTGGATTTCAGCTGTTGCAAGAGCGAGAAGGAAAGGCTCAAATTTGTCATCTTTCTTGATTTTCCGAAGTTGCACAAAGTGCAGAGTCCATGTATCACGACTCGTGCAGTAGCATGTGTTTACTTTCCCCACCACTCCGTTAGGTGCTATAGGAAATTCCTCGTTACTAGCGCCGCCCTCATTCAAACACATTACAGACAGTGGTAAATCATGGAAGATGTTTTCATACTGTGTTAAGTGATTCGGTTTTTTAATAACCGTCGACAATTTTATATGCAAATACATTCAGCCATGAATGCTAATGATGATACTTACGGTCTCGTAACCGAATTGAGCAAACATATATTGCAAACGTATCGACGACCCTTTTATCGGAATGCTCAATTTACCGATGACTACGATGTTAAAACAATTAAACGTCTTCGGATCAAAGCTTTCGAAATATTACTAAAAAAAACTGACAAGAGAGTACTTAGTCAAGGTAGTGTAAACTTTTGGTATCGCTATAGATATGTGATTTGCATCTATTTCCAATTCTGTTATTTTTATCGCCGTTTCATTATTATATTTATTTTCGCAGATTATACAGAATGTGAAGCAATAGATCCAATAATAGAAATACAAAAGCATGCTTTTGTAATGAAATTAGGGTTAAGGCATGCATACAATGCTACCATGTTGGAGCATCTTTTAGAGGAGCTTGCAGAATTTTCATGTTTGGAATCATCGGTTTGTTCCGCTCTACAATTACTAGTTCAATTAAAAGATTTTAATGTCACTCCTGAACCAATTACAGTAAGTTTAAATTTTAAACGTAAAAGAGCTGCAAAGCGTTGCTTGTTTTAATGCATTTCGTTAAAATTTTCAGAATATATTTTATTATGGCAAATCTAACCCTGCTATACCTGAAATTACATATAATGCCAATAATGCCCCATCGTTTCAAATATATCCAATGGAATGTTTTATATTATCCAATAAATTTGAAGCAACATTGGAAACGCAGAAGCATCAAATTATGCAGGTTATACCCACAACAGTCATAAATAAATTGCACTTTTTACATGGAGCAATAAAATCTAAAGGCATCATTGAAACTGAATCCATAGGGTAAGATATAAAGAAAGTATCTTCCTTTTATTCTTAATTATTTTTATCTTTGTTTTCATGTGTTACAGTGTGTCTGTTGCGCCTAATTTTATGTCCAATCATGTATTCGATACAATGTCATCACAGACATCGATATTCTCGAATCAACATTTTACAAAAAGTTTAAACTTGGATCCATACACTTCACAGAGAATGGTGGTAAGTTTTATACAATACAATTGTACATGCATTGAATACTAGAATTCTATGACATATCTTCGCTCGAAGGAAATTTAAGTAAAGAAGAGATATGAAATTAAAAAAGGAGTTGGAATTTTAAAATATAATTGTTCCACGAACAACATGTTGTTCGTCTATATTGGGCCTTATAAGCACTTCGTGGTGCGGCAACTCTATCAAGTGTTTTTTTTCAAACAGTTTTTTTATTGATGTAGGCTTATGGAGGCGAGGATGAAAATGAACATACTACTTGTGAAAGGAGGCTTGTAACGAGTTATTTATACTCTTCTTTCGCACCTACGGAAACAATCATAAAAGAAAATGACAGTCTAGTAGATACATGGAAATCTTCTGAATATAGCGTTATTGACGAATTAAACTCTACTATGAATTCTTGGAATTGTGCATGGAACCAAATTGATATTACCGATACATCTCCTTTAGATCATCGAACTTGGGAACATTTCGGAGAGTTGCAACCTACAAAAGAACCAATGTTCATGACTGATTTACCAACAGTTGCAATACATTTAGCAAAAATCAAACAAATGAATAGTCTACCGTTGCTCTCAGGAAAGGTAAAAACTTATGTATTAATTATTTGTTTTGCAGGTGATATGTTCATCGTTGCTTCTATATGTATACAGTTTACTTACTTAATGTAGATAATGAACTCTGTACTCCTTCTGGAAGAAATTTCCAGCAAAGAATTCATTAATGACGTGAAGTCAATGTTACTTGGAATAGAGTCATATACCTTTAACTACACGCATATGGTACGTATTTTAATTAATTGCAACGAAGATCGATCGCAATATGATTAATCGGAACTTTTTAGGCGGGATTTACTATACGAAAAAATGTCAGTGTTTATGGCGTGTGTTCAAAATCATTAGAAAAAACTTGTCAGGAAGCTATTAAGTGGGGTAATTGCTTCAAATTCTTATCGTATTTAGTTACACCCAATTCACAAAGCGGCAAATTATTACAAGAGGGTCTCATATTCAAGGTTTGAGACGATAACATATACAGAAATAGAAACTGTAATACGTTATAAATTCAGATTCATGTTTGACAGGCCATGTGTTCGAATATCAAAGAACTTCTACTTTATTATCAAGCAGCGCTTCTAAGAATATTCACTTGTGAGAATAAATCGAACAGACTATTGAAGATGTTTCACACAGTTCGTCCAGTGGCGATTTTAATTACTAAAGTTGCTAAGCTCTGCGAATTTTACAAAGAGAATCAGTGTATGCATAAAAAAGGAAACAGCATTCTTACTAGAATCTATAACGAAGCGATTAAAGTGACAGATAATAGGGTTGCTTTAGTATTTTATTCTTTATTAAAGTCTTGCTGTGATGTTTATTTCCGGTACGTACTGTTGAGGAGTTATTATATTTATCCGTCCGTAGTGCTGAATTTCATTCAGAGCATACCATATTTAAACTTAGTCATTTGCAGGTTTTTGCAAAAATGGATGTTTGAAGGGATATGCGATGATATTTATGGTGAATTTATGATTAAAACGAGGCCACAGTATTTACGTAACAGAGGGCATAAATTTTGGACGAAAAGTTTCAGCGTGTGCAACGAAGTTGTGCCCGGTTTTCTAATTGGCTTAACAGAAGCAATACTTCAATGTGGAAAAACAGTTAGACTTCTCAGAATCTGTGATTCTAAGGTATGCACACGCAATAAAACACGGCATCAAAGTATAGTATAGTTACTTATATAGCATCAATCGCATCGTACTGACCCTGTTTGAGGATTTAGAATCCAGTGTGCCATGTTTGTATAACTGAACAACCCGAAGTAAAAGTTTGCTTGAGTGTATCTACACTGTACGAACAATCATTGAGATGCCGAGAATATGAAAATAAAGGTAAATCTGCACTTGGCCCAGTACTTTCTCTTTCCACAGCTATTCTAGAGCAAAAGGATTTGGAAAGGAAAACTGCAGAATTTGTTGTGTGTGCTCAACGTAATACAATGTTGAGAATTCGTGGTAAGCGCATCATCCATTGAAAAGAAAAAATATAGATTTAATTCTCAAAATGGAACAATAAAAGTATATCATTCCTGTCTTTCTATACTTTTATATAAAATGATTATAGAAAAATGGGAAGACGCACTGAAAAAAGTAGCGCAAGCTAAACGTGATCATTTGGTAAATGTAAAAGAACAGCCTTCGATTAACAATATGCAGCAAAAGAAAAAGGCAGAGAACGAATCGTCTAATAAGATGTGTCAAATTGAACGTAATAAACAAGAAAATGAGACGCAAGAGAATTTACGATACATTGAACGGTAATTTATTAATAATCGAAATTATATTTAGCGTTTAAAATATATTGAAGTCGTTAATTTCAATGTATCTCTTTATTTTGTACGATTTTAATCAACTGTGCATTTATGCTTACAGAACAAATGTTTTGAATTACTATGAGGATCTAGCTAATGATATTGATAAACGTTGCATGCGTTCACACTGGCGCGCTAAAAGAATGGCTTTCTTTGATAAGAGAGTGAATGCGTTAACTGCGGCAAACCGAGATTCACAGGCTCAGTTAAAAATCACTGATGAAATCCGCTCTTTAATAAAATTCAGTTCTTTAGCAGAAACTCCAATTTCGTTCGAAGACGAAAATGAAAATTACTCAAGAACATCTCATCAAACGTTTATCGGAACTACCTCTAATGCGATGATAAAATCATCTGTCGAAATTGACCAAGAAGATACGAGACAAAGTCAATGTATACTTGAAAATCGTGCACATATAACAACAAGCAACAATAACGAAGAGAATGATGTTCGTGATTTTTTGAACAATCAAAAACTAGAAGTATTAAATGAAAAAACATTGTCAAAACTACCACAAAATAAAAATACAACGAAAACAATTATTGATACAGATACCAATCATCAGTTATATATCGCAACACCTTCGGGAAACATGGAGTCGGATGAAGTTTTAGAAGATTTATCCATCTATAAAATAGATCGTACATTGGCAATTGAAAGGCCTAGTTTTTTGAATATTGCTAATAACGATAATACGGCAATAAAGTCGCAGGTTAGCAAGTACGTATGGTCTTTAGAAGGTACCATGACACCAAACAATAATCAACTCGATGTACAACAAATTAAGTTTACATCTACTACAAATGACACAACGAAAATGACTGTCGATCATGCCAAAGATACTACAGTTTTAAATCAAAGAAACGATTTAGTAACACCAATGTCGTGTACCACGGATAATTTTGCTTCATCGATACAGAGTCCTATGTCACAAACGCAGAACTCAGAAGACCGATCTCCCATTGAAATCTCGAACACTGATACGCATATGTTGAGCTCTCCTCGTACGTATACAAAATCACCTGCAGGCATAAAAGAAGATCCAACATTTTCAGATTTATTTGTATTAGCGCGAGATGAATCAACTACGGTGTCTGTAACAGCGCCTTTAACCGTTGCTGATGTCGAGGTAATTGATCATACCTCCCTTCAAGCCTATCTGGAAAAGTCGATTCGTATTCCTCTTAACATACAGAGCTGTCTTGTTAACAACGCTGTTATCAAATATTTTCTTAAGGAAAACAATTTGTTGTTACATTTACACAGTTTACGCAGTTACTTCTTCTTGCTGAACGGAGAATTTGCCAAGAGCTTGACAGATTCACTTTATACTCGCTTGTATGAGATTTCCATACCCATTGAACTGTTTAATTCAGCTACGTTGACGAACCTCTTAGAACGGGCGCTTGTTAATTCGTTCAACAGTGTTTACGTGAATTCAGAGCTTCTTACTCTCTCGGCGAGGGACACACCAACTCAGTTACACGTAAATTTTATTTCACATTCTTTACTTTATCTCGTCTTAATTCCATAATTTCTAAATGTATCAATTTTCTTAAGAGAAGCTACTGTATTTTCACTCTATAATTTCACAGATATCCGATCCAACTGCATTAGACTGTATTTCTCTTAACTACAAAATAAGTTGGCCGTTGAACATTCTACTTGATGATACGGTCATGCAGCAGTATGGTAAAGTGTTTAAATTTTTAATAACGAGCGGTCGAGTTTCCTGGGTGTTGCAAGAAGACTTTAGCATTATGAAAAGAGATCGAAAAGTAGTTACGTCGCAACAATACCATAAAGTAAGATTTTACATAGCAAGTTAAAACTCGTTCGAAAATCGTGTAACAGTCGTTAATATTTATTTATACAGCTACAACTGTACAGACATGCGATGACGCAATTTATGAATGCTTTGCACAATTATTTAACATGTAGCGTTCTATACGCGAGTTGGACCGAATTTGAGAAAGACTTGGAAAATTCTTTAACGGTAGATCAAATATATTTGTCACATGTAAATTATATAAAACGAATACTTTCAAGGTAAGAAATTACAGTCTTTCTTTCTTTTTTTTTTTTAATCCTCGAGTACTGTGTCGGAATCATTTTTGATTCGACATTTTCCTCGAGACACGCACACAGTACTAAATTTTGCTATTATGATAGAGATAATTGTGTATCTACCAATTCTTCCACGAGGAGAAGGCACAGCGTCTTTACATCCCCACTCCTGTTGCAGTCCGCTGTCTCACAGGTATTGGTCGAGAACGGTGACGAAGATCGGCGACAGCCAATCAGCGGACTGCAGCAAGAGTGGGGATGCAAACACGCTGTGTTTTCTTCTCGTGGAAGGATGATACGTCCTGTATTTACTGTCCCGACCGATGGAAGTATTGCTCCGCGTATCCACTATTTTTTTTTCACTGGCCTCTTTGTTCTTCGCCATACTAATTTTATCTATAGGTTTGCGAGCAAAATAGTCAAAAAAGAAAAAAAGAAACACAGTATTCCCCTTTACTTGTTTATAAGTGTTTCCAAATGACTTAATTCCATAGAATGTTCTGTCGAAAGAAGACTCGTGTGAAATACGAAGGAGTTCGAGTCTCGAGTGATAGTCAATGTTTGGTACATGTGTATGCGTGAGCTCAAGTCGCGAGCAAGGGAAAATATATCTGCATTGGTAAAATGTCGGTGTATAAGTCGGAAATGAATCCGACACAGGACTGCGAAGTCCAATACTTTGAGGGTTAATTCAGTAAAGCGTAATTACATACATCTTTTTATAGGTGCATGCTTAATACCCGCGGTGAAAAAATACGCATATGCTTAAACAATGTATTCAAAGTTATTTTGAAATTCCACAATAGATTACGATCTCAAAGTTGGATTATGAGATCTACAGGATACATACACCCGAATTTTAAAAAGCTAGAACAAATGTACCGAGCATTTTGTGAGTTACGTGCGTATATGGCACACGTTGCTTATAAATTAGCCATTAGCGGATATCAACCACATTTAATGCATTTTTTAAACTCTCTTAATATAAATCAAATGTATGATTTAACCACTAAGAATTATCGAGGTTTTATAGGTCAATTGGAATTGTAATAAATGATAATATTTCTGTTTTTTACTTTATTTCCGAGATTCCACGTTGCTCTTTTCCTCACTTATCTGCCTCTCTCTCGTGTCGTTTTGAAATCAAGGGTATAAATAAAATATAATATCCTTCTTTCAATTACACTTAATTGAAAATGAATTTGTCGCTAGACAATTTCGAGTAATCATAAAACCATGGATCACACATTTGATATTTATCAAAACAGAAGAGGATCGTAATATTGTCTTTTCTCGTAAAAAATCAAGTCTTACAATACCGTTATGTGATTACATGTTTACCTTTAGCAAGTATGTTGGCGCATCGTTCACACAAACCTTTATCCAGAGACTCGGGATACCTTCGACACCGTTCACATAATTCTTTTTGAATATTATTTACATGAATTTTCGTTTCTGTAATTTCATGATTTTCAGTCAATATTATCGAGGATAATTGTAATATTTCGCATAATTCAGACATCGATGATTGTTCTTTATCTTGTAAAAGCTGTATAAAATAAAATAAAACTAGATATCGTGTTACATTTAGTGCGTTTGTTGCTTATATGTACTTACAGAAAGCGAGGAAAAGTCCTCTTTTGTAGCTTCTATAGTACCAGACAATTTCCACGTATTTGTACTAAAATTTTGTAATAGATTGTCCCTTAATCGAAACGCTACATCAACGCACTTTACGATTTCTGGATCATTCCAAAATTCTGATATCTTGTGCGTGGTATAGTAGAATGGTATTGATGCTGTGAATGCAAAACCTAATTAATACGTTGTTCAAACTTGTTCTTATTTTCGTTGTTTACGAAAATAATTAATTTTACCTTGATTTTCGGTATGATATAACCACACTTCCTCCACTAAATGTGGAAGAATTGGAGTGATGGTTTTCAAAAGGATGGTTAAAATTTCTTTTACAACTTGAACAGCTGCAATGCGTGTTGGATGCGTCGCCTCGTCGCAATAAAGTCTATCTTTTATTAAGTAACAATATAACGCTGACACATCATTCGCTACGAAGTGCATGATCGTTTTACCGGCATTGTGATATTCATAATTATCGTAATACTGTTGAATCTAAAACAGTGTACAAGGTTCCTGATGTTACATAAATATGAAAGGTTTTTTTTTTTTAAATTTAACTTATCGGTGTGTTCATTAACTTAAAAAATGATAAATATCAACATTACTTGTTTGTTGTACCAGTATAATGAGTGCATCATAAACTTGTCGATGATTCGGTACTGTGGTTCGCAGTGCACACCCTTGTGATAGGGATGTAAAACACCCAGAAGGAAACGTAGTATTAAACGCAGTCTGTTGATAGATAATTTGCATTCATTGAGTAATGACTTTGAAATTGGTACATGCGTATGTTGACATCCATGATTAGCCGCCCACCATCTGAACAAAACAAACAAAAAGAAGCGTGATAAATTTTATGGCGTTACGTTACAATCTTATTACATATTCGCAAACGTATACTAGACAATCGCATTCAGTACCTTAAGACATCAACACCATAAACCGGAGTTTTTTTCAAATTGGATCCACCCAACAAAAGTTCTTCCGGATTTATTACGTTTCCTTGTGACTTTGACATCTTTATGTTATTTTCATCGACTGCAAATCCATGCACAAATATCGCACTAGATAGCAAAAATGTAAGGAAGGAATGCAAGTATCTTTAGTCCTGCATATGTCGCTTTCAAATTCATTGTATTTTTCTTACCGATAAGGTGGGCATTCCTGTAAAGCAACAGACGTTATTAGGGACGACTGAAACCAACCATTGAATTGGTCATATCCCTCTAAATAGAGGTCTGCCTTGCCATCCGGTAAAACTGCTGACCACGAGGTACCACTGTCGAACCAAACATCCATAATATCCTGAAAAATATTCATTGACGAATGTAAAATAAACAAGGGTTTTTCTGAACTTGAATTTATTCAATCCAAGTTATATATTACTTTAACGGGGGTTCACCTTTCCTTTTTCTACGTCATCTGTAGCAATATTCATTTCTTCAATTACATTCGACCCTATTAACTCTTCCGTTGAATACATCCACCAGCAATCGGGACCATATCGGTCGATTGAATTACACAAACGTTCGACCAATGCTCTGAGAAGGTGAAGAATAATTAAAAAAGTAATAAAAAAAACAAAATGCAAATAGTACGATTGAATGAAGGTAAATATGCTAATACGTGTATAGTAATGTCTTAGATATTGGCCAACATTCAGGATCGAAACTGGCCAAAATTGAAGGCAGATAGAAATCCCCGAGAAATCCCGTGTGTTTCTTTTTTCAGAAAGTGTGAGTAAAATAGAAATGCATAACACAAAACAAAAACAAACATACTTGGCCGCTGGGACAAGTAGGAAACCAGTTCCAAAAACTGGTGAGGATACCAATCGGCCAATTTTCAAGAAAAATATACCGGCCAATATCCAAGGCATTACTGTACATATTTCCAAACAATACCTGCTCGTAAATGCTTTGCCTGTTGTTTTGCTGTAAAGTACAGGTATAGGCGTGCCCCAAGAACGTTGTCGTGAAATACACCAATACGGTCGTCCCTTAATCCCAGCAAGTAAAGCGTTTGTAAAAGATGTGCGATTGCACTTAGGATATATCTTTACGTCTGCGAGGCTGGCCTTATGCAATTACGATGAACATATTTTAATTATGTGATAGAACCGTATTATTAATTATTAACAGAAAGGTTTAAATCTAAATTGGTAAAAGAATGTAACGAAACAACTTACAATGACTTTTTCTCTAAGAGAATCTATATCGATGAACCACTGATTACTTGCACGCATAAGAACTGGTTGCTTTGTTCGCCAATCGTAAGGATAACTATGAGTGAATATTTCAAAATGCAAGACATCTTGTGCTATGTGATTTAAAACTTTATCAGTTCCCTCCGTTAATACTTCCAATCCATGAAATTCTGTACCAGCTGCTTCAGTATATCGACCTTCACTGTCTACCAAGGATAACTGTAAGATTAAGAGACATCATTGATTATGGATCATATAAGGTTGGATAAAGTCTTTAGAGAAAATAAATTTAATTAATTTTACTATAATTAAAATCTGTTTAACAATTAATCAATTATATAGTGACCATCTTGTTCTGTGACCTTTTTCTTGGGAAATGTAAAAGAAATGTTACATCAGAAATTATATCAAATAAAGTGAACGAATATCCATAAGAATTTTTCTTCCCAACTTCATATTTAAAAGTGTTCATTTTAAGAAACTGATACAACTATTAACGCAATAATACTGTAGCTTACAACAGGTATGCCATTTTCAAGTGCAACCAGAAAATCGTCTGAGCCATGTGCGGGAGCAGTATGAACTAAGCCAGTACCCAGGTCCATTGTAACATGATTTGCAGCTAAAAGGGGTAATTTCTCTTTCTTCAAAGGATGAAAATACATGGTGCCCTCCAATTCCTTGCCTTAAAAGTTAATATCACTTGCGTCAATATTTTAATAGTACTTGGTACCGAACTGCTTTGAAGTTTCTATTATCGAACAACTTATATAAAATTGCTGCGGTTGAAAATACTGATGCGATCCCTGTCATTTTACCATCTGTCTTCGTCATTCTTGCATATATTTAATAATAAAATAAGCTAGGCTATTATAGACCAAGATGTACGTCTTGGTTTTACCTCTTCGTTCAAACCATTCCCTCAGGAATTTTATTAAATTTGTCAGATAATACTTAACACTCGGACAGCAACACTTGGGGTTGCCACGAACAAGTAGCCACAATAAGCCAAAAAAGAAAACGATGTTTCTTATCTACTAGAAATCATGAGTATGTATATGTATATGTAATCATATATACATATAGTATATAGTATACACATGTAAACACAACGTCTATGTACGCGCTTTATTTTTCATTCCTATTATCGATTGCTATTATTTGTATTATAAATTGTGATAATAAAAAGAAACGAGAAACACCATTCGAATGTAAACAACCAGCTTTACCTGCAATGTCTATTAGTGGTTTCTGGGGACCAATTTTTGATTCAACATTATTCAACAATTCTTTCCCAACGATGTTTAAGTTTCCATTGCTATCTTCAGCAAGACAATATATGGCATTTGTCAAGAAAGCCACAGCTTGATTAGCTACTAAAGTCCAAGGAGTAGTAGTCCAAACGAGTACATATACAGCACGATCTTTGAATGAATCTAATAGTTTTGGCAAGTTATCAACACGCAGACGAACAATTACAGCTTTACTTTGATGTTGCTTGTTGTACTCTAATTCAGATTCTGCTAATGCTGTTCTGCAATACAAAAAATACTGAGAAAATGTCTCCACCTATAAAAATAAATTTGGAGAAATTATACTCAACCTGGAGGAAGGAGACCAATAAACTGGCATAAAATCCCTAAATATAATACCTTTCTCGTATAACTTTATGAATTGTTGGAGTTGATTTTTTATATACGAAGTCTGATTTGTTAAGTAGCATCCAGATTCGCTCCAATCAGCCATCACACCCCAAGATTGAAAACTTTGTTTCTGTTTAGTAATAGCTTCATTGGCATATTTACGAGCTAAATACATAATAAAAGAAACAGGCAACCATCACAGTAAAATTCAGTTAACAATGAACATTGTACATGTTCAAAAGAAGTCCATACTCTATAAGAGTGTTCGGGTACCTGAAATTTTTTATTTGTATCAGGTCGATTATTTCTTTAGGTTTGGATCGGGACCCAAAACTTTTTTCACAACATACTTCTTATATTATCTAATATGATAGCACCTTTGAATCTTACAGTTTAAATGGAAAATCTGAGGAAAAAATTAATAGACATCATAAATACATTGTGAGAAAACTCTAAATTTTTCGATTACCAGAAACATTTGAAATCAAGATCCAATTTCAGTTTCAGGTACTCAATGTCTCGATGTCCCGACTCGATCCAACCTGATTAATGCCCTACCCGACTGAAGGCTTGGGTATTCATAATTTTGGGTACTTGAACACCCCTAATGCTCTAGTAACTATACCTTTTTGCCTAATTGTTAAGGGCTCTTGTATATTAATATCGTGAATGGCTTTCAACTCAATAGGAAGTCCATGACAATCCCAGCCAGGAACATAGTGAACTCGATTTCCAAGTATAACATTATTCCTTAATGTTATGTCTTTAAGAATCTGTAAATTTACAGAAAAAGCTAAAATATAAGGACAATAAGTATTATAAGAAGGTTCGAACCTTATTAATAACATGTCCCATGTGTGGAGTTCCGTTTGCGTAAGGAGGTCCATCGTGTAAAACGAAATCTGGACCTGATAAATTCTTCCTTTGCCAATTGTACAATTCGGAGAAACCACATTTCTGTGAAAAAGTGATATAACAAGACATTATGAACAATTAACAGAAAAAACCAGGGTAATATGAAATTATGTAACAGTTAAAATTTACATACTGTGGTTAAATACTCATCCTTTTCTATCCGTTTTTGTCCATTAAGTTGTGCTGGAAATTCAGTGCGTGGAAGCAACACAGTTTCAGAGTATTGATTTTGTTTTTTTACGGTGGTCTTTACTTTCGTATTGATGGTTAATTTTTCTTTTATGCTCCTCTGTGCTTTACTCAAAAACAATGTTCGCTTTTGCCCGAATGAAATTCTATGCATATTTACAGTTTTGTGACACAAATGCATATATATTTAAAACTGTCGCGTCAAATTGCGGTTCGAATATTCCGAATACAGATATAAATAATACCGTCCAAATAAACTTTTAATAATAATCTACAAATACTTGTAATTATCTACATGGACGTAAAATTGTTGATAAGAAACAAATGTTAAGATAATTATTACACAAAGGAAAAGTTACGGACGCACGATTACATTCAGTTCAATTTACTCGGCTATCGTAACGTGCATGGTTAAATACCACGGAAATTAGTAATGTGCATGTATGTTCAGCTATTGCGATTAATATTTATTACATCGATCTTTTACTGCTAGTAATTAAAACTTAATAGCTGCTAAGATGAAACACGTCATACAGAAAATTTGAAAAGAAAGAGAAAGCAACATTCGCACATAGTAAACAAGGAACCGAAGTGTACGATAGGTAGGTTAGTCCGTTCTGGTTCGTTCCAACCGATCCGATTTCGGTCTCGCGTACGATAGCTACTATCGAAGAAATATGGCTACAATTCTCGGTAGCTCGTTCTTACCGACCAGAGTGAGGAACCGTATTGAGGAATCGTACGAGGAACCAACTTTTGGCAAATGTGACTGTACTAGTTACAGCTATCTTGCCCTGAGCGTCGTTCTATTCACCATTGGTACAGCTATCACTATTTCTGCTTTGGGTGAGGTCGCAGACGGACACGTATTTTTGAATCTTGGTCACATGTGGCTTATCGGTCCAATATTCATCTGTTCCGGACTGATGGTAGCCATCAAGTGTATGCTTTATCTTCGAAGAAAGTCCGTTATACAAATGATTATTCATCAGCGACAATTGCTTAGGGTAAGTAGCTATTTCGCGGTTTGTTCTCGTTCCGGCAGTTTTCCATCGGCGGCCCGTTTCCGGTCCTAGTTGTCCCTATATCTGTTGATCTTGTAATCATCGTCGATATCACATAGCGCTCAAGCTGGTATATCGGATATATCGATTATCGAGAAATATGTATTTACATGTCCTTCGTTTTAAATGGCAGCGCGGCAATCACTTGAACGTGAAAAGTTAAATTGTATACCGGTAAGCGCGTCTATGTCGAAATCATAGGCAATATGTTTATTAAATATCGCCAAATACAACATCGAATTTAAACGAAAGAGACATGTTTAAAAATCCGAGATAGATCGTTAGAGTATATTAGTTTGACTGTTCGGCAGCAGGAGTTGATGACCCGTGCTCGTGGTATGGGGCACATTGGTACAGTAACTTCAGGTCCGCCTTCCTACGAGGTAATTGTCCGAGAAAATTCTAACGAACTACCGCCACCTTCTTACGCGGAAGCGATAGCTCTTCTACAGAGGACTATCGGGAACGGTAAGTATTCGTAGTTTTAATAATTTGTAATTTTTTACTACATTTTACCATGCAATAGAATATAAAAAACTGTTTCTCTTGCTTTAGATGCCAAATCGAGTTGTGAAACAGTCTCTTGCAGGAATATTGCTATAGCTGAGAACATAAGGCAAAAACCTTGAAACGGATATTTCTTCCGATCAAAAGATCGAGGATCGCGAAGAATTGCAACTTCACTTTTTTAAGTGCAAATAATTGCTCGTTTCTTCATTTTCTTTCTATATTAAACGAGCTTTTTTTACTATAAACTAATCGCAGATCCGTTGCGTAAATGGTCTCTATCGCACGCTGTATTAGTTAACGGGCAATGAAAGAAGAGTTATCTGGAACGCGATACGTTCGAGTATGATAGAAAGTCGACGAAGCGGCAAAATGATTATGCCTTCCTCATACACATACTACGAACATGTTACTCAAATATTGTTGATTCGTAAAACGATCAAAACAAAGCACGCACGATAACAATATTTTCCTTAATGCCTTACGAAAATGCAAAATTACATTCGGTAAATATGCTCGATTCCCTTTGGCTGCGAGAATTGAAATATAATAAAAATGAAATTGCCTTACATCGAAATTAGGATACTCAAATCGGAATAATACGTGTTGTAATAAATATTTATACATCGTACATTATAGAATCTAAATGATCGTATTTAATTATAGAAAATAACAAACTACTTGGAACGTACTTTGGCACTTAGCATCACCAGTTTAGTTAGCCTTTAAAATTTGTACGTGGATATTTTTGCGTATAAATTCGATGTTAACAGTGGCTAAGGAGAAATGTTTGTCACCTGAAAAAGAAGCGGTAAATTTTGTCCATTGGAGAAATGCTATTTACCGATAACTGTAGAATTCGTTTAATATTGTAGTTATTTTAATCGATTAAAATTATTACTTGCGACAATAGAATGTTAACGGGTAATGATATATTGCTATATTCTTTGAGCTTTTATACGTTTTTTAAGCGGGTAAAACAAAAATATTCTGTCTGAGAGAGTTTTACGAGTCTGAAAGTTTTGTATATACACAATGGTGATAAGCTATGATAAAAAAAAAAAAAAACAAAAAAAAAAAACAGAATTTATTATTGGCAAGATGTGTAAAATTTATGTCGTTAGTTGTTTGTGTACAATATGTCGTATGTTATTGAAATTATTAAAAGATATTGCATGTTTCGTATAACCAGTTTATTTTTGGGATCTGGTACACGTACTAAACACATAATCAAGAAGGCCTGTTAAAAAGTTCCTCGTAGAATGAACATAAAATGTACAATACATTTAGTGTTTTTAATGTATATTGAATTCATAGAAACAAGTTTTACGTGGTTTATATAAACAATCAGGACATATCAAAGAAGAAAAAAAGGATGGTGCAAGAGGATTAAAAAGAGAGGAAGAGAAAAGACGAAGTGTACCTTTTAGGATTGAGCAACAGCCAACATTTCTTCTTGATGAATAAGATGGGTCGTATGGTTAACAAGGCTCATTAATTTTGATAACGAAGCAGCCCATGCATCTAATAAAGCAGCCGGTTCTTGTGTTCCAGTAAATCGAACTACGCCAGTTGGTCGATCTGTACGAGCATTTATCACTCCAGTTTCGACTAGATTGCAGAGACACGATTCAGTTTCTTCGACCGGTAAATCCAATAATTCGGCCATACGAGTTAACGTGATTTTTGTGTAATATTTTGCCATAATTCTAATATTCTATAAGTTCGATTAAAATACGATAAGCATACGATGAAGGTTGTTAATTATAACGAGAGTTCGAAATTTTACACTTACATGTTCAACAACGCGATTTCGAAGATCAGTCCACCGTTTTAGACCTTCTTCCGTTGAGGAGCTAAAAACTTCTGTTGCTCTGAGGTCTCTTTCATAGATCTCACAGAGTCCGGACCACTTTATCAGTTCTGGATTCACAAAAAGCCGTAACAGTTCTCTGGAGGAAAATTAAAAGGAATTTGTTGATGTACAAATAAAATGCGTTAATTAATCGAAATTTTCGAGGAACAAACAAGCACTACTTGTATGTCGGTATCTCATCTAGAAGTTTATCTGCGAGTAGTCTATGAGTCAAATCAGCTTGCTCCGGTTCATGAGGGGCGAGTACAAGATATAAAACAGCTCGTGAAAGTGCAGTATGCTTCCTCTCAGGATCGTTGCTAACGGTTGGAGTCTCTAGAACTGCTCGATTGTGTCTACATAATTCTAAGTGCCAACCTTCATGACGAGCTAATTCCATCATCAGACTGGAATAAAAATAAATATTTTTCAAACAACAATTTTAAACATTTATTTACTTAAAGTCATTTGGGGTGATAATTTACTTACTCGTAATATTTTAATTTAAGAGTCTGGGCCTCTTCTTTGTCGTTTTCATCCTTGAAAAATTTGACATTGATTTTCTTTGCTATTATTTGAGTACGCATAAAGTCCTGTTTTGCTAAACATAATCGCATTTGCTCCAAGATAAGAGAAGCTTTTTCCAAACGTGACATACTACCATATGTCTCAACCTGGAAAATGATTTTAAAACTAACTGTATTAAAATTTTCTGATCTTCCCCTCCATCCTTGTAACATACATACTTGTAATTCCAACATAACAGCTGCAGCACCAGAAATATCTCCATCCTCCTCTTTGATTTTTGCTAAACGATGAGTAAGTCTTGCTCTTTCAACCTCTACATATATCTTAAATAATAGGATCATATTGACTTTTCAAATTGTTTAAAAATACATTTGTGATAATTGTAACTCTAAAAACTCTTTACCTTCCCTTCTGTTACTGTACGCAGAGTTTCTATCAATTTAATCGTGGTTTCCTTATCTGGCATCTTGTCTATGTAAGTGGAACATTCTTGGACCATATTTGTAACAGCCTGTTTCAATTGAGAACGTCTTTTGGTCAGTAAAATTATATGTTCATTTAGGGCTGCCCAATCTTTTGCTTCTAAGCAAATTTCAACAATAGCAATCAAAATTCGAGATGTAGATATCATATCAGCACCCTGTAATGTTTCCAAAACATCATTTATTTCTATAACACAAAAGGTAGAAAACATTAAGTAAAACATTGTAGAAACACTTAACTGTTCGTGCCAATTTTTCTAATACCAGTAATTGGTCTAAAGCATCGTACAATTTTCCTTCCCGTGCCAGCTTTTTGCACTCTGGGATTTTTGTGTCGCAATTGCTGCTATAATCTAACTCCATTTTCATCTTACCAGAATCCATTGCAGTTTCAGGTAGAACCATATTGTCTATGGAAACAAATTGATTAAATAGACAAATCGCAAAAGTATATATTTGAAGATCAATTACCTTTTTATATGTATTTATAACCTACAAAATTTGTCGTTCTTGTAATACCGGTAACACTTACTGATATTTTCTTTCTATTATGAGACGTGGCAATAAATCGTAGAAATGCTTTCTATCAGGCGTAATCTACATACGTGTATAAATGCATTTAACATTTACTGTAAGACAATGTCAAAAAACGATTGTCATGCATTAACCGTAAAATAACAATGCCGACCACATCAAGATTACGCTTATATACTGAAATTCTTCGTCCTACTCTACAGTTATTGATGATAGAGGGCAGCATTATCCACTTTAGAGTGAGAATTCTCTAGGGAGGAACGAACAATGTGATGCCATCATGGCATTGCCATGTTGATCTAAACCGGAAATGACTGATGGTGTATATGTATTTCAAATTGTTCTATATCAGATACTTTTCACTGCCATATAATCTGCTGTTTCTAAATAATACATAACATTAAACACATTTTTCTGTAGATTTACTTTACAGAAATTAATAAAATATAATGCGACGAGTTTGTTTTATGGATTATGATATGATCAGTCTGAGTGTTTTTATATGTGTTTTAAAATTTAAACTTAACCCGTGAACTTTACGTTGGTTACCAGAGGTGATACTTCGCCGTTTTTGGAGAACGAAATTTGTATGCGCATGTGCACGAATTGATCAATAGGACTCGCCAGACATGGCGTCATTTGAACTTTGAAGCGCATGCTTACCACTTCTTTGTTCTTCAGTGCCAAGTCAATTCTAATTTCTACTGTTGTAGGTTAAGAGTTTCTGGATTCCCAGTGCATTAAGGACTCCGTCTTATAGCAATTAATATAAAACTCAACAGTTGTAATCACGATATACGTACTTTATACTTGATGCAAACCTTGGTGACACTCCTGGAACATATACAGATTAGATTAATAATTTTCAACTTTAATGAATATCAGTTTTAGTTGATTCATAGAAGTGGTATTAGAAAAACAGTTTTGATATTTTTATATTTAATTAACATACTATTGTTTAATATATAAAATGAATATTGTCTGCGTAATATGTAGTGACTTACTGATACCATCTGATGATGTTTTTTATACATCATGTGGACATATTTTTCATTATGCCTGTTTGAATCAGTGGTTAGAGAGGTGAGAAATTTTTAGTAAATTACCAAAACCTTATAATTTTTAACGAATATACAATATATGAAAAGTCTCTACACCATGTCATTTGTATTTTGTTTTAGTATTATTGTAAAAGAATAGTTCATATTTAAATGTTTGAATATTATTTGATGTAAATTTGGCGAAATATTTTCTTATATTATTGTATGAATTTCGTTAAAAAGTGGAAACAATTTTCATTACAAGTGAAATTCAGTCATTGAATTCATTTATTGGGGTTTCCAATTTTTAACCTAAAAATTGCATTTATAAATGTAAATAACATAGATATAATTCAGACTTTTAAATTTATTCTAATACATTTAAATATTTATGGAAAAGATCTGTAATATTTTTAACTTGTATAATTACATGTATTGACTTCTATAGAAAACTTTGGAAGTTCAAAAAATTTTCAGATTATTGTTACACATTTCAGCATTTTGTTTAGCAAAATTTATGACCTAAAATAATGGTTCCTAACACTAGAACTATCAAAGTGGTCAAAATAATCCATTCGTAGTTTATAATAAAAATTGTCAAAAATTTATTCGACTAGATTTTTGCAAATGTACCATAAAGTACATAAAGTATCTATCGTTTTAATTTCTTTAGTGTAAATAAATGCACCATAATTGTCTGTAGTTCTAGTGTTAAGACAAAAATTAACCTTTTGAATGTTGAATACTTCTCAACTATGTTAGTAAACAGGGGAAAAAGATACATTGGAAAATTAGTTTGTACAATAGAAATATCAATTTTAATTTAAGATTTAAGAATAAAATTAAGAAATAAAGGTAGTTATTCTTTGATAGTCTCTCAAAAATTACATAGATGGTAAAAAAAATGTTATTTTACAGTGTACTATAGTTCTACCTTAGACTTGCATCTAAATAGTTCCAAAGCAGTAGATGTAAGTTAAAAAATACATAAGTTAAAGGAAGGTATATATATATATACCAACCGAAAATAATTTTTTCAGAACGATTTAAAAATTTTTAATTTAATTTTTTAATAACTTTTTAACGAAGCCTCAGTCAAGAAATTGATATTCCTAATCTTCGTTTTATTTTGGCCTCTAGAATCTCCCATTAAAATTTTTCCCAGGAGTGGCAGAACACCCTGTATAATAGAATATTTGATTTTATATTTTTAACAACTATGTGGATTTATATCAATTTATAATTTTTTTTTTATACAGATCCAAATCTTGTCCACAATGTAGAGAAAGAACCACATTAAGTCAAATTAGAAGAATATATTTTAATTTTTCCAATGATGATATCAAGGAAGATAAAACCTCTTTGCAGCATAAAATTGATAATCTAAATTTTCAGCTTAATTTACAAAAGAAAGATGTTAATTCTCATTTAAAAAAAATTAAAATATTAGACAAACAAAATACAAAATTGAAAGCAGAAGTTCTAAAAGTAGAAAGCCAGTTAAATATAAAAGCTAGTGCTATTTATGGTCTTAAAGAGCAAATTGAGTTTTATAAGAAAGAGAATTTAGAAGTAGAAAACTTGAAAAAAGAAATTGAACTGTTACAGAAAAAAATTGTAACATATGATAAGTATGTGAAAATGTATAATCCTTATGACATACATTAAATATATAATTTAATAATCATACATTTCTTTTTAAGTATAAAAACTTTGCTTGAAACTTCTACAGAAGATATAGATGAGATCGCTTCAAGAACATGTGATCCTAATACTCTTATTACATATATAGCTGTGATGAAAAGGTAGTTAAATACTATTATTTATTATATTTACTATCCATATTTTACTTAAAAAATTATGTTACAAATAGGGAAATGACAAATAGTTTGAATAAAAGAAGAGAGTTAAGATCTAAAGTGAAAAGCTTACAACAAGAAGTTACTAAAGTATCTATGGAACGGAACTTTTTATCAGAAGAACGCGTTCGGAGAAAGTATGAAAATTGTGTAATAAATAGTATAATAAATTAAATGTATTTATTATTAAATATTATTTACAGGCAATTAGAAGACGACTTAATGACTTGTGAAAGTGAAATAATATATTTAAAAAATAAACTTAAAGACTCTGAGAAAAAGAAGTCATTAGACAAACAATCAAACAATATTGATTTCAAATCAATAAATAAATTAAATAGTAATGTAAAAAATGTTTCTAATCAAAATAAAGTTGAAAGCACTGTAAATAATATGAATATTGAAGAATCGAATATTAATCTGGACCAAGGGGATTTATCCAAGATTGAGACAATTGAAGTGATTAATTTATTATTTTTGTAACGTAATGGTTTCACTATGTTTGTTGTTTTTACGTATTTAATAACTTCTTTTCAGGAATATGAAAATCATTCACCATATCTTCCAGTTAAATCAAGAGGAGTATGTGCTTTAAAACAATCTTCACAAAAGCGTGGTGCAACGAAATTTAATTCATTGGGTTTTACAAAAAAAGCGAAAATTGATCAAAGTGCAACAAACGTAAGAATACATATGACAATTTATGATTATGTTTATCATTTATGTTTATCATTACTTAGGAACAAGTAAAGATTCTTGCAATTACATACGATGGTTTTGGAGGGCATTCAAAACACGATCAATTTCCTAATTCGACTGATACAAAAACAATGAAAATTAGAGATGACATAATCAAATCCAAAAGACAAAAAGCTAATCTGAATAACCAAAAACTAGGCGATTTTTTTATAAATTTTATGTAATTTAATTTAATTTGTTAACGCACTATACAGGGTATTCGGCCATTCCTGGGAAAAATTTTAATGGGAGATTCTAGAGGCCAAAATAAGACAAAAATCAAGAATACCAATTTGTTGATTGTGGCTTCGTTAACAATTTATTACCGTTTAAAGTTCCGCCTGTAGAACGGCAATCTGCGAACAACTGCGTGCATGCGACAGTGGTTCTCACTCAGCATGAGAAACTCTACTTGCTGATATATCAACAGCTTTACAGTTTTCTGAGTGAAAACCACTATACGCGTACGCAGCTGTTCACAGATTGCCGTTCTACAGGCGGAACTTTAAATGTCAATATCTTGTTAACGAAGTCTCAATCAACAAATTAGTATTCTTGATTTTCGTCATATTTTGGCCTCTAGATTCTCCCATTAAAATTTTTCCCAGGAATGGTCGAACACCCTGTATATGTAGTGTGTAGACTACTGTAGAACATTATCCGATGTTTTTATACTTAATGTTTATAACGAAGTATTTTTAATGTTTTCAATAAACGATACTTATCCTATCCTGTTGCATCTAGTACATAAAAGTGCATATTTCTTTAGAAAACGAATGTTATAAATGTGGGTTTTACATGTGCATATATACAATTATCACATACGAAAGTGTATTTACTGTTGTCATTGCAAACGTTTTCGAGGTTTTATCATTTTTATGGTTTTTACTAGTTTTCTTCCTATTTGTCCGTTAACAAAGTTTTTTAATGATAAGCAATTACGTTCTTTAAATTTCTCTTTTATATTAAAGAAATCTTAAAAATATCTGTGGTGCTATAGTTATGCACGACAGTACATATATACACAATATACATATGTCTATTATGTGTAAGAACACAGTAGCTAATTTGGAAATACACAATGGTCGTGTTTACGCGGTGACTTTCACCGAAAACGACACATCAATTGTCGTTTTTCTAAATCTATTTTTTCCATAACGGACTCCTGTCTAGTAGACGAAGAAAGTTGTCATCGCTTATACATACGTATAACGTGGGCGTGTTAAAGGCTATAGAATGAAAAAACTTATTAAATAAAATTACATATTATTATTTTAAATAGTATTTCAAATAATACATTATTTCTCTGTTATTTTGTTTTTAAAACTCTATTTATTAAAAGATCTCTTCTGACATCTTTCAATAAAAAACGTTATAAATTTCTTTGCCGGTATGATTTGATAATGATTTATATAAATAAAAAATATATAGGTTTCCAGAAAAACTTTGCTAACATATTTCATATATTCTATAATGAAAATGAGATGGATACGTTATATTCTTCGTCTAAAAGTTATTAATTAATAAGTAGTTTACACGAGATAATAATACACCATGGTAAGTATTATTTTGGTATTGTAGAATTTTAAATGTTTGCGTTGCAGTTTGTATATGGATTAAAGCTCATGGAATTATGGTTAAAATCAAATAAATTATTAGTCATCGACGATTAATAATTAATTTAATCAACGATGAGCGCTCCCAATTAACGATCTTTTTAATCGTCAATCGTCGTGAACAATTAACTAGACTTCATGACTTGTAACTATGAGCTGTTTTACAATATTCACTTACTGTAGATATTATTAGTAGAGAGGACTTCGAAATAAATGTACAAATAAATTTATAATTTCTTTATGATATTGCGCAGTAGAAACCAAGTCTAAACCTACATTATTTTTAAAAGTAACAATTATCTCGAAATATTCTACCTTTATTATATTGTAATTAGTTCTCATGCTTGCATCCTCTTGTTTGGAAATGTAAACGAGTAAAAGTGTCGGGACAGTCGAGGCTCGAAATCATGTACCGGTTGACGCAAAATCGGATTTCAAAAGCGAAAAGAGATCATCTGTCTTTTTTCTCGATTTCTCAAAGCTAGCCGAAGCACCAGCTAGACCTTATAATCCTCATACACACGACACACGACCCGTGCAGTGGGATGGAGATGTATCATGATCTGTTTTCCCCACCGTTATGCTAGGGACTATAGTAAATTCATCGTTAGTATTGTCGTTCTCGATGCACTAAATTCTACGCAATCTGGTCACACTGCTCCGTGCCTAGGAATGGAGATGTATTTTCGGTAAATAATATTGTGCTGACAACGAAATGTGTTTTAAAAGTGTGTAAAGAGTATCGTGTTCCACTTGATCTTAAGGACTTTCCACGGTTATACACTCTGGTAAGTAGAATTCAATTATTTTTATGGTTTTATACGTAAATATAACCTTAGAGTGGTTTACATTAATATTCAAATACAACTTTTGGAATTTAAATAAAAATTCTGATACCTTAAACGAGTAATAGACAATTATATTTTCATTTACTTTCCTGTATTAGATTTCATACCAAACATGTCAAGTATTTTTTAACATGTAGATTCAGATACTTTGATTGTTTTATAAAACAGAGTGCAATCAATAAACATGTATACTATCAATGTAACTAAATTATTGACTATGGATAATAAATTTATTGATTTTTAGTACAATATCTGTTAACTTTGTATTTGGTAACATGTTATTCGCAACATTAATATACTGTTATATTTTCTATTTTTTATTCGCTCCTACTTCTGAACGTTTCCTTAAATCATTTTCATTTAAAATGATATTGTCAATTTTTATATTAAGTTATGTGATTATTGCAATATTGTAGATAATCAAAGAGTCTTAGAGTACAAAATAATCTAAGTGCCAAGAAAATAATTTTTCAGGAGGAAGAAAAGACATTGCTGACTTTAGATTATTAACAAAATTTGATTCATGTTTATTGTTACGTATTACTAAGACTGCAATAACCTTATCATGTTACTGAGATCAAAAATAACAGTTACTCCAAAAATTCGTATGGAAAAATCATTAACAAAAACATCATTATTGTTTAAGTTAAAGATAGGAATCATACATGATAAAGAAAGAAAACATATGATTTAAAAAATATCGATTTTCATTGTTTTAGTTATAAATAACAATTATAATATAAAAAATTTCTTTCATTGATAACTGTTACAAAAATAAAATTTCCCTCGTGAACAATGATTATCAATAAGGAAAAAATTTGTATCACTCATTTGTAATTGTTATTTGTAACCAAAAACGTTTTAATTGAATTAATATATAATATATAAATTTGTGAAAAAAAAAATTGTATTTGTAGAAAAGCTTATATGTGCCACATCTTAGTTGTAAGAAGAATCAAAGGTACCATTTATTTAAATCTACAAGCACTGTAAGTTTCGAAATTACTTAACACGTTGCCAACTGCTTGAATAGTGCTCAATTATACGTTGGCCACCATGCGTTTTTGGCAAGCAATATGTAGTAACATTTTATTTAAATATTCAAAAGGTATACAAGTTACTTCAAATAATGAATAATGATTTATTTAATATTTTTTTAAATTATTTTGACTAGATTAATTTATGAATATAGTATCACTACTAACACTATTTTTGAAGCCATTATTATGCAAAACTACTTTCTTCTAAGCAATCTAATGCACTATCAAAACAAAACTCATTAAACCTTTATTGTTATGTAATATTGTTATTTGGATTTTTTTACAGTTATTCAACATTACTTAATTACTTATTTTTAATTATTAAAAGCTATACTTTCTGAACATTGGAAAAGTAACGAACTGTACATGATTCCAGATCAATGATGACTAGTAAAACAAAAGACAAAATGAGAGATTTTCACATAGAAAATATAAAAAACTAAAAGTATATATCTTTAATACGATCTTTTCATTTTTTATTAGGAGATATTTATTTCTATTAGGAGCAGTAATTTATTTTATTATATCTCGGGTAACACATTGGCACTTACATTGTTTTCTATGAAAATAACGCTTAACATATTGGTGATACTATTGTAGACGTATAACTATTTACAAAGATATATGTTATTTAATACTTGACTGTCGCACCAGTTTTCCCTGTTTAATGATATCCTCAACATTTTTTTCGAATTATAACATGATAAATACAAATATTGAATCAATAGAAAATGAATCAATTTGTATAAATACTTAAATTGCAGCATTTGCCCTAAATAACTTCTATTCATGCGCAAATATAGAAAAGTTAGAGGTAGAAAATTAGAAAGTAATAGATACGAAGACTTTTAGAAAATATCAAAAAGAAAGGATTAAATATTAATATTTTCTAGTCAACTTCTTTTTTTTTATCACTGATGCCTGATGTGTTAAATAATTTCTGAATGTGCAATTGATGGCTGTGAGGTATTTCTTTGAAAATTTCTTCAAATTTGAAGGATAATAAAATATTCATTTTATATTATTATTGAAAAATAAAAATAATAGAGATATATCTGTATATAAGGAATAATTATAATGTTAGGGACATAGTGAAAAAATACAATAATAAAATATAGGTACTGACACATTGTTGATGTTACATTAGTCTAGTTACAATTGAGTCTTATCAAATATTCACATACTAATATTAATTATTAATTACAGTCACCAGCATCTGTTAGAGTTACATCTGTGTTTATCTTTTATGTTAGTACTTGAAAGTTTGTAGTTGCAGTGTATATCTTTGCTGTAGGATGATATATTTCTGTTGTAGAGTATTTTATCGTCATATGTTTTCTTGTTGATATGATAGAACACCAGTGGCTTCCAATCATGCCACCACTAGGTAAATGTTGTAATTAAACTGTGTTTTAACACAATGATGAAACATTAATTATAAATATCTAAAAAGCTATTGAACTTTTGATGCTATATCTTCATAAACAGGAGTTTATACAAAGTTTCATTAAAAGTTGGTGACCCAAAGGACTTGCCTTCTTCTTATTAGCTGATTTTGGATTGTTCGTGTTACGTTTACATAGGTTGGTCGTGAAACTGTGACATCCATGGTGCGATCAACTTGTACAGTTAGATTAAAATCAGTTATCTCATTGGTGACTATAATGGTTCGGACGTCTACTGACAATCGGTCCACGAACCTTGTTTGCCTGAATGGCGTCGTTAGTGACTGTCTTGCTACTCAACTCGCGCGTATCCATTGCATCTAGATTATTGGTATATAACCATTTCGAATTCGACGAATAGACGAAGAATGCGTATCTTTAGGGCGTCGTATTTGTCTTCCACTAGCGAGTTCATTAAAATAACTTCGACTAGGATCGTTGCATGCATGTGAGGTGTGCGACCGTGCGATTAAATTTTTCCAAATCACTTGAGATTTGTGTGTTGTTAACACGTTGATTGTCGTGCCAGTTTTCTGTATCTAAATATATCTTCAACATTTGTTCAAATTACAGTGTGTAATAGAAATATTCGATAATTCAATGACGTATATGTTATTTTACAGCATTCCTAATTAAACATTTCATTAATAGTATTTTTCATTTTTTGAGTGGACATACTACTTGGGGAGTAGTAAAAGGATGTCAAAGAAAATCATGTTTCTGTGCAATCTCTCTTGTCCTATTGCATATAAAAATTTGAAAAAATTTAGAGACATTACAGATACCGAGATACCTATTGGGGAATTTTTTCAGATTTTTAAATTGGAAAATCAGGTTGTAAAAATGTCAATTATGTATTGAAGCAGAATTTTATTTATATTTTTGCAGTAAATATGTATTGTCGTTACTATTATTCTTAATTTCTTCAGATTTTTCGGTTTGGTACACCATAGCAAGGAAAATAAAAAACCAATTTTTTCGTCAGTTTCTACGTATAAGAATAATTTATAAGTCGAGTTTTTATACATTCTTTAACATTCGAATGTTTCGTGCACTGTTTAATATTTCTACACTACGTAAAATTACATAAGAATTGACAAAAATTAAATAAAGCTTGTCGAACGCGATGTGTTCTAACGTACCGACAGTGTTTCCAATGGCGTATACATATGGCGTATAACAGTAAAGCATCCAACTGTGGAATCCGTTGAAAGTTTTTTGACCATAAGTTCGAGTTCCTTTTTGGGCTTAACTATTTTTTTTGACATGTAAGTTACTTTTATATGAAGAGAATGACCAATAAATCGATTTTTACTTTTTCTATCTACGGCGCACCGAACCGATAAATCTGAAAACAATACCTTTGGTGAAGTTTCCGAAAGAGTTGATTCCTTACTAATGTAGATAATTTTGAAATATGTTTTAAACGGCGTTATTTTACAGTTACTCTCAAAATTGAGCACAATTATATTGGTAGTGAAAATCGGCAAGAAAATGAATTAAATCATGCATATTTGAAAGTGAGAATACAGTATAATAATTGTTAGTATAGTTTCATAGATAATTAACGAACTTTTCGGCCGATGATTTTAAATTTTCTTTCAAAGTATTTAAATATTTTATCGAGGAAGGCATTTTGTGGAAAAGTTATTAAATTAAACTCCGTCATGAGAATAGTAATGAAATTTACAAATATGACAAGGGGTTAAAAATGTTTAGCCACCACAAATTCCAATCATTCTTCTTAGGGAAAAAATTTCTAATTTTTTTAGCAAATTTTATATTAACAGGATTTACATAATCCATATATCATGTAATTTCTGGTGAAGGCTAATATTTATAATTTGTTTTGTTTACATTTGAAGTACCGAGCACATTTTCGAATATGTTTCGTAATGAAAGTAATAGGACGAATGTGATCAAATATCTCAGAAACGATAAATTTTTGGACAAATGTACCATAATATTTTTATACCCCGAATACATTATTCTATTGAAATGGAGCATATGAATCAGGCATTTCATTTATGAAATCAAAATTAACCTTTATGTTCCGGGGTTATGAGATCTCACGACACAAGGCCGGGGAATAATTTAGAAATTATCCCCCGATATATGGAAATCCTACTACTATGCAGTCAGACCACTAAGAACCGGTGGGGAGAATAAGTGGAACGAGCGGTCGATTTCCCTTGCCCCTCGCAACGTTTAGTTTGTTGGTAGTGCCTCAACATCTTATTTCCCAATAGTACGATTGAATCGAAGAGTTGCTAGATACGACGGTGATGGTGCTATTTTAGTTCGTTCTGTCTCTGTCACGCACTTGACAACAAGATGGCGGATCGCCTTTAGCGCCGATTGATCGTCCAGACTGATTGTAAAATCAGAATATTAATCCTTTACAGGACCATAGTCACATAATGTTTTATAATACATGTGCCTCAGTCTAATAGGT